CTCACATGCCACTGCCACGTAACCTTCCTGATCCTCGGCTTCCCACAGCTCTGGCACCCAATCCCGTACAGCAGTTCGAGGTACGCCCATTCGCAGAGCGTGTCGTCGTCCGGGTCGGGCAGTTCCGGTCGGTCGCGGCGACGGCAGCCCGTGAGAACCGTTTCGGCTTGCCGGCCTTGGGTGAGCAGCTGACGGAAGTTCTTGTTGGCGTGGCTGAGGCGGAGGTAAGGGAAGATCTTGAGGAAGCTGGCGATGCGTAGCCACATTTCCCTGGGGAGTTCGATTGAAGGGCGGGGGGTGGGGGCCGTGAGGGCTTGAGCGTGGGAACTTTCGCCATTCTTGCCTGTTTTTCTGCGTTTGGTGGCTTGTTTGGAAGTACCAGGGGTATCAGCTTCGCTGGCGTCCCGGGATCTCTTGGTAGAACGCTTATTGGTGGTGCCAGCGCCTGTAGAAGGAGTGCCTTGTTCATCTGAAATGGCCGTGGGAACATTGGGCGTGGGAAACTCGACATTCTCGGCGTTGGTGGAGACATTCTGGGAGTCGGGCGTTTCGGGGGCAGCAGCCGTTGAGATAGGAGCAGCCTCGATCTCTTCGGCAGCCTTGCGCTTGTCGTGGAGCCTTGCGGATCGTCTCATGGTCGTTGCTGCGTTACAATAGGAGGTTGAGTAAATGGCAGGTTGTTAGGTGGTTTTGAGACTTCCAGAGCAGGCGGACGCGTGGGAAGAAGCGGCGCGTCGCTGTCATCGGCGGCTTCGGCTCTCTCGATGCACACACACAGGCACTACGTACGACAGATATCGCTCCCGGGTCATGGTGCCATGCATGCATACGATTGAACACCTTACGCTGAATGCTTCAAATCCTCCACTACGCCTATATATATATATATATATTCCTCTGGCACCGCTCCACGCTCTTCCCACTTCTCACTATCTACAATCCGCCGCCCCACACCTCTTCACCTGACCTACACCGAATCCTTACAACTGCCCACACTCAACTACCACCACCCTCTTCTTCGTCTTCCCATCCACACTCCCGACCTTCTCCATCTTGCGCACCACATCCATGCCCGTAGTTACTTCGCCGAATACCTATCGTTGGGGAAATCATGTTTTCGTTACTTATTTTTTTTTGCGGGGAGTGGATTGAACGAGGAAAGGGTATGGAACGCACCACGTGCTTGTTATCCAGCCATGGCGTCTTCTCTGTCGTGATGAAGAACTGGGAGCCTACATATGCCGGAAAAGCAAGTCATCAATAAACATACCACGAAGCACTCTGCCCCGACTGATGAACTTTCACAAGTTGGATTACTCACCATTGGTGTGCGGGCCGGAATTCGCCATAGATAGCGTCTAAAAAGCCAAGGGATAGATGGGTTAGGAAGATTGCTCATGCCAAACGATGGGAAAGGGGGAAGCATCGCACATACCCCCGGCCGCGTATGTTTCAGTATAAAGTTCTCGTCGTTAAATTTGTTGCCGTAGATGCTTTTGCCGCCCGTTCCGTTGTGTTTTGTGAAGTCACCTACAGATAGTAAGATGGGGTATAAGTGCCTGGTCAACCTTCCCAAAAACGTTGATTGCCCATCGATTTTACCTCCTTGGCACATGAATTGTGGGATAATCCGGTGGAATATCGACTTTTTGAACCCGAAACCTTTTTCGTGTGTGCATCTGTGATCATGGGAATCGGGTGTTAGCCTTCTGTCCGCCGGTCCCCAGACGATTCCAGGAATTTTACAATTGTCGGAAGTTCTCAGCCGTTTCTGCAAGAACGACAGTCAGCCCTACGCAAGGAGAAAAACCCCCAGCACTTCCATCCCCAAACCTACTTGGCACAACATCCGCCCTTAACAGTATCACAATCCTCCCGGCCATCACCCCTCCGATCTCCACATCAAAATATACAAGGGGATTGCCCTCCTGTTTCTCTGCCCGCGCTTTTTTCGCCACCGGCTCCCCATCTACCTCTCCCTCCTTCCCCTCTGCCTCCACCTCCTCCTCTGCTTCAACATCCGGTACCCCTGCAACATGTTTCTTCAGATACTCCTCCTCGTTCCATATCGCCTTAGTGGTGAACGATTGTCCGGCTTTGAGCGGCCGCGCGAGGTTGACTTTGATGACTTTGCCGTAGAGTTCCGAGAGGTGCAGGTTGTCGATGGCGGATTGGGCGTCCGCGGCGGATTCGTATTCTATGAAGCCGAAGCCGCGGTGGGGGGCGCCTAGTGGACGTTACGTTGAGTGGCAAGTCCTAGGGACCGTTTGAATACAGTGAATGTGAATGTTGTCGGTACTTACGGGAGGTTGGATCTGGCGGTATTTGCACCTCGAGGATATCGCCGAAGGGCAGGAAGGCGGCGTGGAGTATTTGTTCGGTGATCTGGTCGTCCAGCCCGCCTGTGGAGGGAACGGAGTCGTTTGAGCCAACATTGAACGGAGACAAGTGGGAACAAGCGATAGCCCCAGTGGTTGCAGCGGACCTCCGATACGTACCGACGTAGACCGTAGTCTTGTTGTTCTTCTTGATCTTGTCCATGTTGCGCTAGTGTTTGCAGCGGAGTGGAAGTCCAAAGTAGTCCAAAAGGCCCCCTGTCCCAACCTCCAACGCGCTTCTCTTCCCTCTCCGTCCCTCCCGTCCGGACGCTTCCCGTTCCCACAACCAACAACAAACAGCCCGACCGTGATCGCCAACCGCAATCCTCCCACAATCCACCATCCACACCCAACCTCTCCACCCCCAGCGCACCCGCCACCAACAAATCACACCACTCACCCACACTCACTCCCCTCATCCCAAAAATGTCCAACGAATACGAAGAGGAAGCCAGCGAATACAGCGAAGAAGCCGCCGACGACTACGAGGAGCGGGCCGCGCAGAAACTTAACGATATCGAGGAACATGTGCGTTACCAATCACATTCCTTTCATCCCCCGCGATAATCATAGTGAAGCTGATGATTGGATTGTGATTTGTGATTCTTCTAGAGGAATGATATTTACTATAGCCCGCGGTACCAGGATGACGAGCATGAGTATAGGCATGTTACGTTGCCGAAGCAGATTGGTGAGTTTTTGAACCACGTGGGAGTGGGAGGAGGTTGTGATTTCGGAATGGGATTAGGAATCGTGTGCTGATCACCGTTTTTACGCAATTCGCGCGTGTAATCTTGCTTTCTTAGCGGCTTGGATCCCCAAAGGTGCGTTGTTTTCAGCGTTGCATGCGAAATAGAAGGATCAGACGAGAAGATGCGATAGCTGACGTTTGAAAGTACAGGCCGATTGATGCCCGATGCAGAATGGCGCAGTTACGGCGTCCAGCAGAGCGCTGGGTGGGAACACTACATGATCCACGGTGCGTACGTCCATCACCCCTTCTCATCCCACCACCCCTCCCTCTTGCCCCCTCCTTCTCCCACAGCGGCTCGCTAACACCCACCCTATGATTCCCCAGGCCCGGAACCGCACATCCTCCTCTTCCGCCGCGAAAAAGACTACCAGATTAAATACCCGAACGGCAAACCCGCTCCGGCACCTAACCCCGTCGCCAAACCACAGAAGAAGCCGGTCAAGGGCGCGCAGGGACAGGGAGGGAGGAAGGCTGTCGGTGGGCTTGTCGGGTGAGAAATATGAAATATGGAGTATGGAATGTGAAGGGATATTTCGTTTTGTGATGAGAGAGGGGTGCCTTTTGCGGACCGTTGATGAGATTGGGAGGATGCTCGTAGTCCAACATCCCCCCCGTATATATATATTTTGTTCCCCCTTAGAGTCAGTCATGAACCTCTTATCGGTTCCGTGAGTGAGTGAGAGTGTTGTTATTCCTCGTATGTGTTTGTTCATAAAGCCCAGATGTACGAAAGTGAAACGCAAATAGAGTCAAAGAAGTTCAGAGATTCAATGTTTTTCGATAGACGTCTGGTGGAGCGAGGTAGCAGAGAAAATGTGTGATTAAAAGGGGTGATAACTCACGATTACGCATTACGCAGAGAGGAAAGGGAATAATAAACGGATGAACCCAAAAAAATACACGCAAGGAAACAGTCAGAAGCGCTTCCAGACCGACCGCCGTTCAGCCTACGACGGCCCACTGCCACCCGCTCCCGGGTCCGCACCGCCCAGCTGCCCACCCACCAAACTCCCCCTCCTCCTCCCCCCCCTCCTCTGCCCCGCTCCCCCACCACCAGCATCACTCTCAACATCACTCTCCACCGTCCCCTTCCCGCTCCCAAACAACTTATCCTTCGCCGGCAGCGGCGGTGTATGCGCGCCGTTTGTTCGCTGGGCGGTGGAGAGCGTGAGCGCGGGAAACGAGGCGGACGGGAACGAGGCGGAGTAGGCTGTGGTGGGGATGGATGGCGAGAAGGGCGGTGAAGAGGAGTAGAGGGCGTGTGTGAGCGTTACGGGGACCGCCGGAGTCGGTGTGGGTGCCGTGCGGTCCGGGGTGACTACCACAGGTGGGGGCCCACCCACCCCCGTCGTCCCTGCATCCCCCGCATCCGGCTCCGCAGTGTACCCCTGCGCCCTCCGAGCGGTCTCCCTCTTCTCCTCCTCCTCCAACATCGCGACCAGTTTCCCCAGATACCCCGGCAGATCGCCGTAATCCTCGCCATACACCACCGGCACGAGCAACTCATGCGCGTGGATCAACCGTCCCAACGAATCCTCGAACGTGAAATCGGTGAGGTAGGTCGCCTCGTGGGTGGTGAGGAGGACGTAGTGCATCACGCGTTCAAAGTTGTTGGATTCGAGGTAGGTGTTGTGTTCGTAGAGCGAGGCGAAGAGGGCTGTGAAGTGGATGTCCTAGAACAATATCACAGCGGTGAGTAAACACCGCGGAGGAGATATGGCGAGGGGGGGGGGGAGGGGGGGGGGGATCGAAAGGCATACCTGGAGCGTCCCACCCGTCCCGATAAATATCATACTCCGATGAAACGCCATCCCCCCCGTCTTGACCTTACTCCCGACATCCACCAACACCGGTTTGAGGGCCATGATGAAATCATCAATCGTAACCGCATACTCCCCGCTCGTCAGCACGAACTTGCGTTCCGGGTCGTCGTAGAATATCCCATGTAGATGGAACACGTAAAGCTCATGTTGCGCCAACGGGTGCTGTTCTGATTTCAGCCGGTACGTGCGTTGTGCTTTGAGTAGGTCGTCGATGGACAGCGTGAACCGCCCCGTGGCGTCTTCGAGGAGCACGTCGTAGTTGGTGGTGAAGATGGGCGCGCGGAGGGAGTGGAGGATATGAGCCAACGGCGCGTTCCGGTCGGCGCGGAGCTTATGTAGGATCTTGAAGACCAGGTGGTGATACCGCATGAAGGGGTCGGAGCTACCTCCCAGATGGCCAGTGTTAACGTAGTGCTCGATCATCTCGGCCGCTTTGTCGAGCCGGAGTGCGAATTGGCGCTCGATGGGCCGGCCGAGGGGAGAGGCGGGATGGGTGCCTGCCGCTGCTGCTGCGTCCTTCCCCTTCTCGGGCGGCGGCGGGGGGATCTTTGCCGGGTCGTTCTGCAGCATCTCCTGTACCTCCTCGTACCATCCGTCGGGCAACCCGAGCATCTCCTTCACGGTCAACGCCAATCGATCGAGGAACCCGCGCCATGTGACTAGTTTTTTGTTCTCTTCCCCGTCAGCGAGGGAGACGGAGACGCCTGCGCCGATGATGAGGCAGCCGCGGCGGTCGGAGAGGGTGTGGAAAAGGTCTTCGAGGAGATGGGAGGGGTCGGTGTCGGGGGTTTCGAGGTTGATGATGGGTTTGGGGGTTGAGGCGGGTTTGGGCGGGCTGGAAGGGATGTAAGGGGGGTAGGTTGGGCCGGCTTTTGTGAGGGGGATTGCGGGGAGTGTGCCGCTGGTTGGGGATATGGTGGCGAGGCGGGGAATAGGGAGTGGTAAGGTTGGCAGCGCGGGGGTCGGGATGGGGACGGATTGCGTTGGGATTGGAGTGTTCCTTGGAGGCTGCTTGGAGGAGGAAGGACTGGACATCTCTGCTGCTGGCATACTAGTTGGAAGCGACAGACGTTGGAGAACAGCAATACATTACGAGGACGACGGCAAGTGGTCGGTAGCAGCAGTGTATGAGCAGTCGCACGCTGATACAGTAAATAGGCGGTCCACCAAGTGTGGGGTAGGCGCAACAAAAAAAGCACACTTCCGACGGGGAAACGTGTCACGAGCGCGTCAAGGGGAAGACATGAGGGCCGAAAGGGGATTGCGCTCCTCCATCCCCCTTCCAACGCCCCACCTCGTTGTCAAAGTGTCCCTTACGGAGGTCATACAGTCCCATACGAGAGATGGCAACGACACCGCAACCACGAGCAGCAACGGCAACGGCCCCTTCGCCAGGCTGGGACTTTTCCATCCACAACATCCCCTTCGGAACAGTCTCCACTACCTCAGACGTAAGTGTGAAACGAGATCACCTCCTCAACAGAAAACCCAATTCATTCCACCCCTCCCACCGTTCAGAGCAAACCACGACCAGCAACCGCCCTTGGCAAGTATGCCGTCGACTTATCCGTCCTCTCGTCCGCCGGCGCATTTCAGGGCCCACAGCTGGGCAACGGTGTTGCAGAAAAAGTCTTTGCCGAGGTACGAAACTTGTCACACTTCCCGTTGCAACACCCTGACAGTCCGCTCACCTCCCACCGTCTCCCCTTAGCTGACGCTAAACGCATTTATGGCCCTCGGCAGGCCCGCCTGGACCGAAGCGCGCAAAACCCTCCAATCGATCCTCTCCCTCGACGCCGCCACCGGTGAAGTGACCATCACCCTCCCCAACGATCCCACAGAAAACGACGTCAAAAGCCGAGCCCTGCACCCACTGGAAACCCTCATCTACCACCTCCCCGCGCATATCGGTGACTACACCGATTTCTACGCGTCGCGAGAACACGCAACCAACGTCGGGGTCATGTTTCGCGGGAAGGAGAACGCTCTGATGCCCAACTGGTAAACTCCATATCTGCCCCCACCCATGTCTCCATTCGTGCTCGGTAACCCCCCCTCCCACCCCAGGCTCCACCTCCCCGTCGGCTACCACGGCCGCTCCTCCTCCATCCTGCCCACCGCCACCCCCCTCACGCGCCCCAGCGGCCAAATCCTCCACCCCACCCTAAAAACCCCTATGTTCTCCCCCACCAAAAAACTCGACTACGAGCTCGAAATGGCCTACCTGATCGGAACCCCCAACACCCTCGGCACACCCATCCCGATCGCGGACGCCGCCGACCACGTGTTTGGAATGGTCTTGATGAACGACTGGTCCGCGAGAGATCTCCAGCAGTGGGAGTACGTGCCCCTGGGCCCGTTTCTGGGCAAGAACTTTGCGACGACCATATCCCCCTGGGTCGTCACCCTCGACGCCCTCGAACACTTCAAAACACCGCAACCCGAACAGCACCCGGAGGTGCTACCCTACCTCCGTCCCCCGACGCCCCTTGACGCATACGATGTCGAGTTGTCGGTGGGGTTGATGGTCCCGAACGCAAACGAGCCGACGGTGCTCGCCCGGAGTAATCTCAGACATCTGTACTGGACACTCCCGCAGATGATCGCGCATCATACGATCAATGGCTGTAACCTGCGGACCGGTGACCTCCTCGGCACCGGAACCATCTCCGGGCCGGATACGTCTTCGATGGGATCGATGTTGGAACTGACGAAAAACGGGACAGAGCCGGTGGATATCGGTCATGGGGAGAAAAGAGCGTTTGTGGAGGATGGGGATGAGATTGTGATTAGTGGGTACGCTGAGAGGGTGGTTGAGGGGGTTGGGAGGGTTAGGGTTGGGTTTGGGGAGTGTAGGGGGGTGGTTTTGCGTGCGCGGGAGTTTAAGTTCTAGGGATTGGGATTGAATATGGGACATCGCCCGTGTCGCCGGTTGTCCACGGGTGTACATTGCAGATTATTCGACTTGTGATGCCTGGGTAGAGAGTTTTGTAGATAGGCTGATACGATAGATATCTTCACGACCGTATGAGTTACACGCATGTCCTTCAGATTGTATCCATTGGGTAAAATACACATCCCCACCCATTCCCACCCCTTCACCAAAATCTCATAACTTTCAACATGTACAAAGAACAACGCGGGGCGCTTCAGAGGGACCTTCCTACGCAAACCCTCGGGGTATCTTGATCGGTTTCAGCTGGTATCCATGGCCTGGACATCCCCACCACCCTCGTTGCTGGTGGCGTTAGTCTTGGCACTCCGTCGTGACCGACGCCATTCCTGGATCTTTTGTTTCAGTTCCGTGTCTGCACGTCCCACGTGAGAAGAAAGGGTAAGAAAGCCAGGATATTGACGCTGGGAGGTCAGGCCCTCGCCACAGGGTAATCTTCCAGTCACTTTACCTGGAATAACCTGATCGATACTCAACGGTTGTCGATTGAACTGTTTTCATATAGGAACCGGTAAGTACACAGGTCAAGGAATATTGCAACAGCAACGGCCCAAGAAACTGACAGGATCAATCTTATCCCCCAACAAATAACTCTTAATCGTCGACCGGTCTACGCTCTGCCCGCTGCTCGGCAGCTTGACGGGGTCTTCCATGAGGTGGAACAGCAATGGATCTGTTGGATTCACAGGTATCACTGTTAGTATCAGCCTTATCGTTCGTGCAACACACCAACCAGGGAAGGGATAAGACCGCGAGAGTCATGCACATACCCAAAAACTCATCCGGAATCTCCCCCAACTCCTCCTCTTCCTCATGGCTTGCTACAATCTCGCGTTCCACTTGTTCAATAAACTCATGTAGCGGTTGCAGTTCCCCCTACCGAAAGAAAAAAAGATCAATTCCCATTAACCCTACCCCTTACCGCATAATATCCCTCGCAATCCACAAAAAAAAGGCTCGCTTCGCCCTCATACCTCATTCTTAATCCCATTCCTCAACAAAATCCCTCCAGCACGTATAAAATGATCCCTCTTATAACTACGCTCATCGCGCGCAACGGCCGTGACGAACTCGGGGCGGTGCGCGAGGTTGAGGTAGATCTCGACCAGCTCTTTGAGGAGTTTCTTGGGTTCGAAGCGGTACTTCTCAGGCTTCTTAACCTATCATCAGAATCTCAGTATGTCTTTTGCGAAAGAGGGGTTATAAGTGATATATGAAGTTTTACCTTCAAGTCGGTACATCGAGGCCCGACCATAGCGGCGATATTGAAATCCAGCATCGCCGCGAGCCTTTCGACGATTTCAGGCTCCATGAACGGCTGCACAATTTCCGGGTTGGCGGTCATGTATTGCAGCATGTGGACGGTCTCGTTGCCGAGGGACATGTAGGAGACGGCTTGGCCTTCGAGTTGTTTGAGGTGCGCGGCGCGTTCGGTGTGGCGGGTTTGTTCTTCTTGGGTTGCGTTGGGCTGGTGAGGCGGTTAGTTTTTGTGCTGATGATGGAGAGACGGGTTGATGAGACACGTACGTTGAGAGGCGTCTCCAATTCATGTTGGATCTGCTGGATCTGCTTCAACTTCGACAGCGACTCGTCCAGGAGGTATGTGGCGTCGTTCATCAACAGGGCGGCGAAGCGGGTGAAGAATTGCGTGTTCCTGTCACAATCATTAGAATGATGGTTACCCAGTATGGGAAGCTTTCAGCATTTTGTTTTTACTCACTGACTCATAAGCACGACCTTCTTCTTGTGCCCCGCATCGGCCCAGATCGATTTCAGGACCTGCGAGATGTTGTACCGGATGTTGAACTTGTCGTAGAACTGGCTGGACGCGCCCGTGTGCTCCGCATCTGCCCAAATCGCCCCTCACATCAATCCCCAACTCCTCACACACCCGTCGCAAAGAACCACACACTCACCAACATAAAACCGCATCAAATTCTCCACCAACAACTCCTTCGCCAACGGATGCGTACAAAAAATCCCATCCAAGAACCCCCTCCCTTCGCCCGACTCGGTGCGGTACAGCGGCCACGTGAAGGTAAACAGGATCTCGACGAATTTCGATTTCAGGTGCGGGTTCTTAATGTAGTGCGGGTTGGCGAGGAGGGACATGGTGAAGGTGAGGAAGACGTCACGGGGGACGGTTTCGAAGGTTGGGCCTTCGTATCTGTTTGTGCTGTGTGAGTAACGAAGGGGGGCTGATTTGAGTGAAGTGGCAAGCTCTACCTGGCCACAAAGAGGTAGTATTCGCAAATATCCTCAATGATCCATTCCGGGAGCGATGCGAACGTGACGGGTGGTGGCGCGTCGGTGTGGACAAACGGTGCTGGAGGCGGTGATCCGGTAGCCGTCAAACTAAATTCGCAATGATCAATCAGCCGCAATTGCATTTAGAAAGCTGAATTAAACAGCGGACATACCTGGAGACTTCACCCCTCGCAACCATAGCCCAATCAACCGCGTCGCCCGTCTTCGCCGCCGGATGATGCACATTCGCATTATCGAGCGAGAGGCATCGCAACAGCCACATCATGACTAGGTCATAGAAGCGCAAGGAATGTGCGATGCCGCCGCGATCCCTGAGACCGGTGTCCATACACAGTTTGAAGGAGATGGCGATGTCTAGTTGTTTCTGTGAAGAACGCGAACATGAAAAGTAAGGTTAGGCGCGGGGACCGGGAACGCATTACATCACAGGTTCAACCATACCTGAAACCGCTTCAACAGCCCCTCATTCATCACCCTCGCCCCAGGAGCCCACACCCCCGCGTTCCTATCCTGGACCATCTTATCCACATGCTTCCTCAGCTCCTCCGTCTGCTTAATCAGACTCCCATATGTGCGGATCGTGCTCAAAATCCCATAATGGTGCATCGCCAGAGTGACAAAGAAGATATCCGAGACGAAGTTCGCGGCTGTCTGGTCCGGGTGGCTCGCTTTCCAGTCTGCGACGTGCTGCTCGTACTGTTCCTTGTCGATGTTGATCCGGGTCTGTTCGGAGAGGTCGATGCGGGTGGAGTAGGTGAAGTAGTCTGGGTCTATGAGGTGGAGCTTGCTGTATTTGGAGTCCATGATTGGGTCGGTGAGGAGGAGGGATGTTTGGAGGAGGCTGTACATGAAGCCGTCTGAGGAGACTTCGTGTGGGTCGACCTGAGAAGACGAGGAACCGGTGTGTCAATTTTCGAGCCAATCCGAGATGCGGGCGCTCAGAAGTCTTCTACCTGCATGCGACCACGCTTTACGTTGCTCTCAATTGCCGTTCCAAAGTACTGTAAAACACCTTCCCGTGCTTCTGGAGCAGATTTTATGATGGTCATGACGAGACCATGAATACGATGCTGCAGATGTGCCGCGAGGGACGTTGCTTGAGTTTGGGTCCAGCACCTACAGCCCTAAAGCACAACGATTCCAACAACAAACCTGAACTCCTTGCACAATACTCCTCAGCGAAGTCATCGCCGACTTGACATCCCCCGGATTCCGCGCCCCAATGTAGAAGCCATCACTCATCCGCGCCGCCCGGTCCCCAAACGTAGCCCCGCTTCCAAAGTAGTGTTCAGCCAGTGTCGGATCCGCTCCCGGAAACGCGGTCAGACGGCCAAAAAACGGCCCAAGCACCGTCACGACCTCCATGCTGCCCCCCGTCGCTTTCCATTGCGGAAGGTTCGGTAGCAGCGACGCGACCTTTTTTTGAGATATCAACGTGTGCAGCGCCCGCAAAGGGGTGTTGTAGTCCTTGAGGAGGTTCTTCTGTCGCATGTCCGCTGATATCGTGCTTATCATGTACTGCAACGTGAGGAGCAAGTCCTGGTCGTCCTGGAAGCGCGAGAAGAACTGCTCGAGGAAAGTTGGCGGCAGCTTCTCGTCTGCCTCGTCCTGGTTTGAGAGCAGTAGATGCTTCGCTAGCAAGGACGGGCCTTCTTCGATAACACTGTGGTCGCGAAAAAGATGAGACGATGGGGTGCGACGGCGAATGCGTTGAGACCTAGTTTGTACCTCTGTGGTTGCGGGAAGCTCATATTCATGTCCGGATTCACAACCAGCGCGCTATAGTTGAGGATCAGCTCCTGTAACGTCGACAGGGCCTCCGTCCGCGCCTTGAAAGCGGATAGGACTTGTTCGTTGCCCGGGACCTTTTCCACAACGATCTCGATCCTCCTCCGTGCTTCGTTCGATCGCTTCCACGCACCCACAAGGTAGTCGAACAGGGGAATGGCGTTCGGAGCTTCATTGCTCTGTAGGGATAGCCGTGCGTACAAGGCGCGCTCCACCTGCTCCTTCGTGATCTTCAATGGAAGCCCTTCACCTTCCATCTCCGCTCTCACATCTGCGAGATCCGTGTATCTCTTTTGACTGCTCCGATCGGTCTATCGGGAACGAAGGTAGGAGGACGACATGCAGCTTGTCAGCGACAAGTGGCCAAGATGACCGCAGATGGTCAATCGCAGGTCTATTTACCCTAAGACAGCACTGCAGGATATCCTCGAACACTTCATTCTCCCAATCCTCCTGGCTGCGCTCCAGAAAGTCCGCTAATATCCTGGCAGTCGCGGCGGACGGTGAGAATTTCGGCGAGGGGCTCGGGACATTCGTTTGCTGTGCGGGAGAATCAGCAAAGCTTCAGCAGAACAGTATGACGCGGGGGACAGGGTAGCTACCTGCGGGCCCTGCTTCACTGCCGCCTTGGGCTCAACTTTCAAAGGCTGCTTCAAGGCTGTGATCGTGGGAGTCACGGCCGGCGTGGGAGTGGCCGGCGAGGAGCCTGCGGGAGTGGGGGATGCTGGACTGGCGGAGGTAGCGGCGAGCTTTGCCATCCTCTCCAGACGCTTCCGCCGTATCTGCTCTGCGTCCTCCATTGCTGACTCGTCTATGTTCTGTGTATATTGTGTAAGGAGTGGTGTTTGCCGCGTGCCTCTGTCGTAGATCACCAGCGGAATGGGTTGGTTCTTGGAAGGTGACAAACCGGGCAAGAAACCAGCCACGACACGGGAAGCCGACTTGCGCTCACACGAAACTTACTCCAACAGCAGCATTTCCGTAGAGGGAGGGCAAGATGGGTAGCACAATACAACCCCGGAACCCACGGCGACGACCTCATATCCCTTCAATATCCCTCCCTCGCCGATTTTTGCTCTCCCTGCTGGTCCTATCCGCCCTCCTCGCCATCGGGAACCACTCCACCCACGCATTATCGCCCCTATCCAGCAGCGACATCCCATCAACAAAAGTCTTCGAAATCTCCTCAACCTATTACGTCTACGACTGCAGCCCAACCGGGGACTGCGAGGAATGCACCGCCGAGGAAATGGTATGAGCGCAAACATGCTTTTCCCAAGGCATCGAGTATACGCTCACTCATCGGTTTACAGAAATCAGCAACCGTCCCGTACTGCACCGACACCGGCAGCAAACAACGCCTCGAGTGCCAAAAATCCTACGAAGTTCCAGTCAACACCACCGAGGCATTACCCTGGAACCCGAAAGATGTCGTCAAGCTCGCTCCGGACCAAGAGGTGCCGTACATGGACTGGGTCGAGTGCGATGCGGCGGCGGGGGCGGGGGCGGGGAGTCTGGCGGTCTTCGAGGTAGGTATCAAATCATTTTGCGCATTTTGATGAACGAAGAATGTGCTGAATGTGAGGGTGCGATTTTTCTTTAGATGGTGAACATCGTGTTCTTGGTGGCGAGTGGATATGTGATCTTGTGGCGGCGAAGGCTGCTGTCGGTTGAACAGTATCGAAGAATTGCGAGTAGGCTTGCTTCATAGCACCAAGGGGAGAGCAAATGGCAGGGTCTATGTGGTTCGTTGTAGACGATTTCCGGAAGGTGTACATATAGTTTATTGGGGTATGTCATCGCACTTTGCCGAGAGCTGTGCATTTGGTGGGATCAGCTGCGTAGGTTTTTCATTAATCAGCATCTAGTCGGAGGCTTTAACATGGCAAAGGTCCGGCCACAGCGTATCTAGGCAGTGTTTCGATGAGCTCGGAAAAAGAGAAAAAAAATGGCAGAACTCATCAAGAACGTTGCTCGTACGGTGGTGATAAAGAAGCCGCTGAGAACTCCATTCACACCATCCCTAACCCGAACGCGTCGCGCGTTGAATCAGCAAAACTCCGCCAGCCAACACAAGACTGGCTCGTTTACCACAAGCTGAAAGGCCACATCGTCGCGGGTCCATTCTTCGAATACTGAAAGCAAATCGAAATCTGAACAGCTGTATCTGCCATTGTCACGCAATAGGTCTAGCGAATTTGCGGGGCAAAACGCAACGATCCAGCACCCAATACGTGTGCACCGGAAGAACCTCGCACTCCTATTTCGCTCAGCGAGTTATGAGACTCGCGCTTGGTATCAAGCCGGTATTTGGGCACGGGTAAGCATGGAGGCAAGGTGCCGAAAGGTGCCGAACCCTTTGCCCATTCTTATCTTGTTTTTCGGGACCCCCAGGAGTGCACGTTCTATCGTCAATTCCGTCCATAAAATGAGTTAAGCTTCACCTAGATCAACAAGGAGGCTTCCCCCAACTTTCTGTGGTGTTGCCAAGCCCCTCCTCCTTGCAGACCGCATACTCCACTTCTCCTGTAAAATCAAGCTTTGAAAACTTCCAGCACAGGCCTTTTGGGTTTCATTTTTTTTTGCCACAAATATACACATCATGGCGATACCATGGGAGGAGCTAACACATTTCGAGGTTTGGCGATGCCTGCACGGTGCCGATTATCAATCGCACAGGCATTTTCTGATCCTTCCCATGAATTGCAGGATATATCAACGGGGAGTTTCGGGATTGTGCGGAAGTACGTCCTGCACCACTGAAGCACAAATATTTCTCCAACCACATTTTCATAACCCCGATGATCTATACAGAGCGGACTATCTCGGCACGGACGTCGCCGTCAAAGAGTTCCTCGACATCTCCAACCAGCCCGGGTTCGATGTGCAGAAGTACATTGGACGCGAGGTCGATATTCTCAGGTATATCACATCCCGTTTCCCCAACCCCGCTCCTTCCCCCCCCCCCCCCCCCCCCCCCCCCCGCACCCACACTCGCCTTTATGTCCCCTCCCCACCCATCCGTTAGCTCCGTGCACCACCCGAACGTCCTCCAATACATGGGCATCAGCCTGCACGAGCGCAAACTGTACCTCGTCACGGAACTGATTACGGGCGGGCACCTGAAATCGTGGATCGAGGCGAGCGCGAATAAAGTAGGGGTGGATCCGGCGTGGAAGTTGAGGATTAGTTTCGCTATTGAGTGAGTTTTGGTGGCGGGTTGGGGGTTGGGGGCTGGGAGTTATGTGATTATTGAGGTCTTTCGGGTCGGGCATTGACGTTTCAGGGTGTTTTCTTTTTAGCACGGCGCGGGCGTTGGTGTATCTGCATGCGCATCGGATCATTCATCGGGATTTGAAGAGCGAGAATTTGCTTCTGACAGGTAAAACGGGAGGAAGCATATTTGAGGTGGGGGATGTGTGGGATGCCATAGAGGGTGGGGATGCTGAGGATGCGGTTCCCCTTTCTTCTTTGCTGCGAAGAGAATCTCCGTCTTAAGATATGCGATTTCGGGCTATCCAGGTCAGTCAGTACTCAGACATCTGATATGTATTTAGGGCGAGACGACTGAAGCCGTGACCATCAAACAGAGAAGTAGCAACAACGAAAGAAGAACGGGGCCGCCTCTCCTTCTGCGGCACGGACGCCTACATGGCGCCTGAAATCATCCTCGGGCAAGCCTTCGACGAACGCGTCGACGTCTTTTCATACGGGATCATCCTCTGCGAGCTGATAACCCTCTCGAGCGACGCGTCCCAATCCTTCCGTCGCGAAACGCCGTATTTCGGGATCGACGCCGCCAGCATTGTCGCGGCGCCCAACTGCCCGGGGGATTTCCTCGAGATTGCGCGGACGTGCACGGACGCGGATCCGGAGAAGCGGCCGCGGTTGAAGGATGTGTTGACGAGGTTGAGGAGGTTGGAGGCGGAGGTGGTGGCGGAGCGGCCGGGGAATATTGGCGCGTTTATGGAGAGTGAGGCTGGGAGGGGGGCGAGTGTGGCGACGTCGGCGGCTGGGGAGGCGAGGATTGCGGGTTCGGATGGGAGTTTGACGGGTGCGTGGGAATGTCTTTGTTCGTTTCAGGGTATCGGGTTGTGATATCGGCCGGCCCTGGACTAAAAAAACTCTCTGAATCCATGCAGACGGCTCCCCCGACTCCCTCGCCCCACCTAGCAGCTCCAGCAGTCCAACCACCTCCCACGACGCGCTCCCATCCCCCTCTCCCTCCCAATCCGCCCAAAGCATCGCCGCGCGGATCGCCTCGCAGCCCCCCTCATCAATCCACCAAGGCTCCCCCTCCTCAGCAACGATGCGGCGGCTGGGCCACTACGTCCCGCACCGCTTCTCGGTAGTCTCGCGGCCGACTATGGCGAAATGTGAGGTGTGTGCGAAGAGGATTGGGATTACGAAGAAGCATTTGCAGTGTGATGGTATGGTTCATCCGTTGTGGATGGTAGTGGGGGGAGGGGAGTGTGGACGGAATACTGATTTTTGCGGTTTGGGTAGACTGCGACACATCATACCATAAACGCTGCGGTCAGAAAGCAACGCCGACGTGCGGGCTTTCCGCCGACCTTAAAGTGTCGCTATCCTTGTTCGATCCACAGAAGAGGGCATCCTAGACCGGGCTGCACAACAAACTCCTTCATCAGCGCTTCTCTCTGTATAGATTTATACATTTCTTCCCACTGGGCTAATTACATATATGCATGGCCATGGGAGTCGAGGCGTTGGTGTCGCTCAAGGATGTGAGTTGTTGTTGTTACGGCGTTGCGAGCACGACGTCCTGCCGATGCTCTACGCCCTCCGTCACGCAGCTTACGAAGTTTCTATGCCTTTCCGGCATCTCACTCCCCTGTCCTCTACGCGGGCCCATGTCCGCCCAAATCTGAGACTGGGTCGTCTCTCCGAGTCGCCGCTCCTAAGGCCCGCTCAGCCAGTTGCTCCGTCAGCCGTATGACTGTTGTTGTAGCCACCGGGCTGCTCTTCTGTTGTCAGCCTTTCCTCTTTGGCTATCTCTTATCAAGAACTCTCATGATTGTGCCGGTGTCTCATCAGTAACCATAGGATCGTCCATGATATCAATATCCTCTTCCGGCTTAATCGCGTCTCCTTCGACCGCAGGCTCCGCACCCCCTTGCCTCGGCGACGTCTCCGCGACTTCTCCAGTGGTACGAGACTCTGCTGCTGGTTCCGTCACCTCCAACTCTCCCGTTGGGGACACCTCAATCTGCGCCAGGCCCACATTCACCTTTTGCGGACTAACCGGTAGCAGGGGAGATTTCTTGGGCGAGGCGGCACGGTCGTGTCGAACGTGTGGGCTGCTTTGCATGGGGTGGGACAGAGCTTCTTCCACGTCCTGGGGGCAGATCAACAAATATCCATCGATCCATGAGCCCCATATATCCATCCGTACATCGATCAGACTTCGTCCATCTCACCTTTGCAGTAATGAGATCCCTCCCGGCCCCAGACATCTCAATCGCCTCCTCGACAATCAACTGCGTCGACTCCAACTGCTCCATCTCATCCACATTATCCGGCCGCTCCTGCCGCTGCAACTCCTCCACCGTGCCCGTATCCCCATCCGGATCTGCGTCTGCATCCAAGTCTTCTTCGGACGCGTTATCGCCTTCCAGATCGTGGGTGGCTGGTTGCGCATTATCCTCCTCCTGCTCGAGTTCGGCGTTTGAGGGCTCTGGTGACAGACTGCCCTCGTCGTCGTCGACGAAGGACGGGCGCCGCTTTTCGGAGACTTTGACGTATTTGAGGATCCGGGGCTCGTGGGTGAGCCCTTTGGGGAGGATGGAGGGGCCGGTTGCGCCGACGGGGGTTACCCACTTCTTTTCCCTGCATTATTGACATGTTTTAGCGGAGGTGAATGAAATCTGAAGATGGAGTTTAGACTAACCAACGGACGACCGGCGTCCACCACGTCAGCTGTGCTGTTTCGTCTGTTCTGCTGAAGTCGGCTGGCGTGCCTAGTCGGCTTGGTCTCCCGGACATGACGGAAAGTTCGCTTCCTTCCGCAAAAGTGGTATGAGTGCTGAGAAGGGGGTTAGGCGCTATACACCTCAGAGCTCGTATCCAAGCTCACAGCGGATGGGAGTGCGGGGAGAACGGGATAATCGTACTGTCTACTCTATGCAAATGCAGTGGGTGTGGTTTCTGTGGATGCTGCGAAAGCCTCGACTGAGCCCAACTCACTCTTCCCTCCGCTCGCCGTTCCTCCCGTCGCCCCTGAATTACTTACTATCAGACTTACTATCTTAACGTTCAGCCCTTTGGAACAACTGGAACGCAGGGAGCAAACATAATCCCTCCCACAATACAACCCCTTCATCGTCGAAAGTCGTCGATAGTTCAGCGAACATTCTCGGCAGATTCACCCGTGCGCAGCAGCATATTCAGCACATCTTCAGCATCTTGGCTTCATTTCTCCCGGCGGCCTTTTGCCCTCTCCTCGGACACACTCGCAGAGAGCCCCATACACGAAGCACCCATACAAATTCTTTGCAGGAAGGGACCGAGGGATAAAGCAAATCGCTGAGCAGTCCGCAGATACCCTTTTTTTTCTTGGGGAGAGAGTGGGAGAGAGAGAAAGAGAGAGTTTGAACTTTCACATACGGAAGTTGCAACATGGCCACCCCGAGGCCCGACACGCCCCCTATCGCTACAGCTACAGCGGGCGGGTCTGGGCTGTTGTGGCAGTTTGGTGTTGCTGTGAGTATGCTCATAATTCAAGTTGCATATGGGAAGACACCGAGACACGGGCATTTGTTCCGTATGTTGACATAGCACTATCTGACCACCTTTCCCATCTCATTCCATGTAGTTGATCGGGGGCGTCATCCTCTTCGGCATCCCCTGCACGTGCGTTCTCTCCTGGTGGGCCCGGCGCCGTCTCGCCGCCATCCAACGCGCCATCGACGTCGAAGCCGCCGGCGGTGCCTTCGACTTCCCCGGGCGTGCAGCCGGCTCAGGCAGCCCGATCCCAGGCGGCGGTAACTCGCCCTCCCGCGCCGGCGGGAACCACGTTATTCGCAAGGAGAACATCGACGAGTACTTCCCGGCGCGGCCGTACCGCAAGCAGAAGGAGCGCAGGCAGAACAAGCGCGGGTTGCTGGGACCCAAGGTTGGGAATAATAAGCTAGAGCCGGAAATGCGGATGGCGAAGCAGGAGGTGGAGGCGAAGGGCGGGGATTTGAGCGAGATGGTTTTGCCGGTTACTGCCGAATCAGGTGGTTTTCAGGATGCGCGGGATGTCGCAGCAGCGACACCGCTACGTGACGATTGCCCACAACCACATCACCACCGGCTACCCCTCTCTCAGTGCATCTCCACCACCACCCTCATCGAGCCCGACCAACCTCCTCTCCAAATGCAAAACCCACCCCCAACGCGCCGCCTCTCCTCCCTCACCGCAACCTCCTCCACAACAACAAGAAGCTCAACCTCCAACTCCTCAACGATGTCATACCCCTACCCAAGCGACACATGCCCAATCTGCATCGAGCCGTTCGTCGAGGGCGAGCCGATCAGGGAGCTCGTGCCGTGCCGGCATTACTTCCATGGCGCGTGCATTGAGACGTGGTTGACGGAACGTAGAGGCGTGTGTCCAATGTGTAGGGCGGATTTGGTGGATGCTGTGAAGGGGGAGGGCCCTGACGAGGAAGGTGAAGGGGGTGATGTGGAGAGGGCGGAGTAGGCGATGCGCGATACGCGAACAGTCTCGCATTTTCAACGCACATGCACACAATGCCCACGCCCGCAGTATGCCTCCTCACTCTCACAGCTATGCAAGCCGAACGCCTTTGAACGTACTTTCTCAATTCGCCGCAGAACCCCCACCCTTACAAATCTCTCATTCCTCCACCTGCTGGCCCCTATTTGTCCCAATATTGTCTTTTTGGCTCTTTTTTGGTTTCTATGCATACCCCCACTTTTTTGATAGTCTTTTCTCTGTTATTTAGTTTTCTGGTTGCTTTTTGGAGTGCTTTGCGGAAATATGAAGAAGTAGTACTGTATTTGCTGCACGCGTCGGGTATTGCTGTTGGACTCGATGATGTCACGACTGTTTACTTTTCGACGCGTTTGGGGACGGCAAGGCAACCCTTTGCATTTGGCCCAGGTGACCCGTTTTTTCGTTGCCCTAAGATATTCGCAAGGTTATTCAACGACGATAAATAGCTGCAAGGCATCCTTCTCGCCGCCTGAGCCCATCGCAACCGTCAAACCTGAAAGCACTCGGGAACTCAGCAAAAAACTGGAAAGCAGGCAGTCAATCCCAATCCATCCATTCCACCCACAACCCAAATTTCCCGGCACAAAAATGTCCACGCGAACCGAACAAGTCCTCCAACGCAAAGCCGCGCTCGAAGCGCAAAAGCTCGCGGAAGCCTCCAAACACCTTCACCAGCACTCGCACGCGGTGGCCAACGCCTCGCAGCACCGCTCTGAACGCTCGCACCACGCCGCGGAAACGCTCTCCCACTCGGCCGAAAACCTCGCCCGCCGCGCATCGCTCGAGGCCGAGAAGATCGCGTCCACGATCCATGAACTGAACACCAAATCCACCCACGCGTTGGAGGTGCATGAGCAGCATAAAGCCGAGGTTGCGCAGCACGCGGCGGAGACGGGGGTGCATCCGGCGAGTCTGGAGGGCGTGCAGAGACGCGAGGCCGAGGAGGAGAAGAGGCGAGGGGCGTTGGAACGCGAGTTGAGGAGGAAGAGTGAGGTTGCCGAGCAGGTTAGGAGTGAGCGGTTGGAGGAGGTCAGGGAGAAGGCTAGGGCTTTTGAGGCGCCTTTTGAGCATTAGCGCCTCCTGCATGAGGGATTTCCTTATGCTGCGCGGCTCGCCCCTCCCGCGAGCGATGATGCGCTGTGCCACCTTTTTGGTACGGAATTCGTTCTACCTGGTGGTGTTTTTGTTTGATTGTACGCCAGATGCTTTTCGCAGGATGGGATGTGCGCAATGTGCAACGAGATAAATTTTGGGATGTCAAAATATATGAATGATGATTAGCATTATCGAACGGGAAGATGTAGAAAAGACGGGAATACTAAATCTAGCCGCTAATGTCTTACTACCTAAACATCTAAGGACAAATACTCGACCCAGAAAGATCCTTCCCCTTTGTCGTTCGCCTCGCCCATTTGACAAAGGTTCCCACCTCCATCAGCGGCCCGTCTCGCGTCGCCACTTTGAGCATGTCTGGCGCCGCGAATACCTGCGTCTATGGCGCCATTGCAGAGTTCTTCAAATGTTGCTTCGTATGGCTCTACCCGAGCGTCGGTCGCGTCCTCGGCAAAGCGCCTGCGCTCGTTCCAGTTGTTCCGTCTGTTCAGTCATGTCACTGTCGTACGGCGCCTTCCAACGCCGCTTGCTTGCGGGTACGCCCTTGTCGCACGCTCAACGTCCCTCTATATCTATGTCCCACTTTGCCTCAATGCCCCACCTCCCCAAACATCGACCGGACACCCCGACTCCCCTTCAAAGAAGGCATCATAACTCATATGCAGTTTGATTGAATCGAGCCAACCTTCCCCTCCCCTCCCCTCGATCACCGTCCATCTCTCGGTACGCACGGCCAATGCATGCACCCACCTCTTCCCTCTCCCCCCCCCCCCCCCCCCCCCCCGCCTCCGCGTTCTTCACGATAAATCCCCAGCCGCCCTTCGTCCATTCCCACTGCGTCCGCGTTACCCTATCCTACACCTCCATGGTACCGTCGCGCCTTTTGAATCTCACAACCTCCATGCGCAGCTCGGATTTCCTCCACAGGCCGGCGGGCGAGCGGGTCTAGGTGGTCGTGGATACGCGACGACCGAACGGCGCGGGGGGGTGGTGTTGTGTTGGGCGGGGACGGAACACGGGAGCGTATAAAACCTCACAGCGTCGCATGGCGGGGGCGAGACCTGACCCACGTCCCTGTGTGTCATCGCACGGGGGGACTCGATGCAACGATGGGTTCGATAACACGGACTCGGAGCCCATGGCGCGATTCCGAACGCACGGGGGATCTATGCAGCGGTGTTGGGAATGTCGATGGGATTTGCACAGGACGCTATAAAGCATGGTTTGCGTCCCACCGTCTGTCTGTCTCTCCCAACGATCGTTGGCGTTTAGTCTGATGTAGTCTGGAATCGGTTTCGTCCGCTCCCTTGGTTTCTTCATCGCTGTGGTCTGTGCCTTGACGAAGTGTGACAACCTGCCTGTGCAGGACAGCGGCGTAGTCAGGCGAGGTGCGGGAGCTGAGAGATGCAGTGTATTCGAGGGCGCTGGGTGTGGGTATGATTGAACATCAAATGTTGGGAGACAGCTCGGTTTCCCAGAATAGTGTCTTTTGAGGAGAGAGCCATTTTATCGATTTGTGGTTCGAACTCGTATCGAGGGGTGGCCGGACGCAAGGGTATGATCGAGTGCTGGTTAGAAGTCACTGGAGAATTTGCTAACCAACGCTCGATCATACGGTACGTTGGTGGCGAACTTCCTCTGTGCTCTCAGGTGAGGCAGAGGTGTCTTGGGCGAGTGCCTGAAGGACGGAAGCCCTGTCACTCAAGGGAGGGCGCGCTGTCGCTTTTTCTTGGACATGATTACATAATGTGAGTTAGCCAGAAGGTATGGGGCAAATTCCCAGCGTCCTACACTTCCCGTTCGCATATTCCGCATGCCTATTAAACTTCATTCAGTCTATCATACAAAGAATCCACTCTAAAAAACCATAAAAGTAACAGCCACTCCGGTTTTTCGAAAAAGCCAAACTGATACGCCGCATCAGAGACTCCTAATAACCGCCCCGGTAACACCCTCGGTCGTATTGCGTCCCCCCAAATCCGGCGTCAAGCTCTCCTTCCCACCCAAAAGCACCTTATCCACCGCCGCGTGAATCCTCGCCGCCTCCGCGGGTAGACCCAGATGTTCGAGCAGCAGGGCGGCGGATCTGATGGCTGCTATTGGGTTGGCGATGCCTTTGCCGGCAATGTCGGGGGCCGAGCCGTGGACTTGTGGAGGGGGAGGAGTGGTTAGTTTGAGGTGGTTGGGGAGTGTAATTGGATTGGGGTTACGTACCTGGTTCACCGAGGACGAAGTTATCGCCGACGTTTGCGCTGGCGACGACTCCGAGACTTCCGACTAATGCCGCCGCCCCGTCGCTGAGAAGCGTCGAAGTGTGAGAACAGCCATCCAGGAAGAAGGTCGTTCCGCTTTGTCATCGTCACGAACCTGATAATATCCCCATACAAATTCGGCGCCACAGCAACATCAAACACATGCGGTTCCCGGAACATACGATACACCATCGAATCTACCAACTGCTCCTCGACCTTCACAGCGGCGTATTCGGGCTTCTCGCTCTGCACGGCCAGGACCGACTCGCGGAACAACCCGTCTGTGACGCTCAGCACATTGGACTTGTGCACGACGGTCACTTTCGGTGGCACGGTCTGCGCGCCTCCCGAGCGAGCTTTGCGTAGTTCTGCTCGCTTCAACGCGAGGTTAAACGCCATTCGTCCGACGCGCTTGGATGCGAACTCGGAGATTTTCCGGTCGGCCCATGCGACTTTGGTCCCGTCTGCTGCTGTCTCTATCCTTTCGCTTTTGATGTACTGAAGTAAGAGCGTCGAGTGGTAAGAACACGCGCCAGATTTTCAGTAGAGAACCCGATGGGAGGGCTCACCAAGCACTCCGTGTTCTCGCGGATGATCAACATATCGATTGGCTTTTCCGACGAGCCAACCGGGCTAGCCACCGGCCTGACATTTGCATACAGATCCATGGTCTTGCGCAAAGCAACAATAGGCGATGAATATCCCGCGACCTTATGAGAAGGGGAGCTTTGGGGACGTAAAAATAAGTGTCATGTTGGCCAACCACGGTGGAAAGATGGCGGTCACCCCACCTCACAGCACCAAATAAAGCCCCAGCGCATTTTGTCCGTAGAGCCTGTACAGTTTCATCCGGAAGCGCCTTGCCCGTCTTCTGGAAATGTTCAAAGCCCGCGTCTAGGGAAAGGAACGAGAACCGGTTGGGGGACACGGCTTCCAGGACTTGACGTGCAGCCTGAGTGTGGGAATTGAGGTCAGTCAGCGTTTCGTGTGTCCCCCAAAACCAAACGGACCATCCAAAGGCCTACCGGTATGACTTCCTTCCCAATCCCGTCCGCCGGAATGAGCCCGATGGTGAGCTTGGACGAGCGAGCCGCTGTTGACATCAGCCTGATGCCTCTGTGGAAGGACGCGTGGGAAAATGTCATTTCGGTCGGACTCTGAGCTGCACACCTGCGTTTGGAGCCGTGCGTTAGGAGACCGCTGACCACACACTGAACGCAACTCTGTTTCACTGACTTTAGTTGTGACAAAAGACGTCTCAACCTTCTGCAAAAGCTGAGCACTGTTAGTCCCTTTTGTTGTTGGCAAGTTCGAAGTTCCTCCCCAGGCAAGAGGCGGGCGCCCTTTTGAGGGTGAAGGTCTTTGAGCGCGCTGAGTCATGATTCATGAAGCACGCGTCGGTGGTCGCTGATCATCTTCTCTCTGCATCTTTTCCCCATCTCCGCTCGCACTTTTTTTCTGCTTTCGTCCCGGCGGGCGAGTCGACACTCCGTCCTCGGTTATATACGCACCCAGCAGCCAGCAGTCACACTAGTACACCAACAAGCCAAGCAACTCCTACGGACCCAGGCTCGAACCCAACAAGGTACGCTGCACTCGCCTCTCCCAGTCGGTCTCTTAAATATTTGAACCCTACTCACCCCAACTTACCCCCTTGGACGCCTCCAATCCCAAGCTAACCGACCCCTTCACAGCCTTCCGCACAACCGACCAGTCCCCAATCTCGCACCTCTACACCCAACCCCGCCTCGAATGCCCACAATGCAACAAAGGCTACAAAATATACTGCCCTCCATTGCCGCGTTTGACGATGTACGAGGTCAGTGTCTGATCCCACAGCGGACAATACTGCGAAAGAACATGCTCATGCTCCGCAAACCCGATTGTTTGGAAATTGGGGCGCAACGGCCCCGGCCCCGAGGGTAGGCGAGACATTTCCGAGACATCCCAAGTCCGCACACCAACGTTCGCTGTTGTCCGGGTGATGGATCGCTTGCCGCGCTCATTTGGTGTTCCCCGTCCCTGATGCCAGTTGAAGTCATCAACGAGAACCACGGCGGAAGTGTTCGAAAGCGCAAGTCGCAAGGACACGTCCCCTTCGTGAGCGGCAATGGCTGCCTGGGCCCGGGCGACGTTGTGTTGCGGGACGAGGGAGAGGCCAACCCTGGCGATCTTTGTCTGTTGATCGGTGCTGACACTCGAAAGCTGGAGCTGGATGGACATCCAGCGCTGAAGGTAGTTTACACGAAGATGTCGGGTGCTGAGATCGAGCAGGATGGAAATGAACACTCTGTGGCAGATTCCATCCCGGTGTTTCTCGCTCCACCTCAAGCTGCGCTTCAGAGGCACATCGTCGACGACCAGTGCGGCGGACCCTGACGACCTGGCGGACTGACAGGCGCATGCCCAGAAGAGCTGTCCACGTCATTGTCCATTGTTTCCCCAGGGGCTCATCCACGGCTTGGTCGCGTGCCCCTCCTTCCTGGGCAGTCTGTGCAGGGGCAGTTGCGTCGTAGGTTCTTCCTTTCACAGCGTCCCCAAACAGCGCCAAACACTGTTCCATCAAACAATCCTCTAGCTGGTAAGGGCCCACTTCTTTGGAAAGATGGGCTTTGAAAGCCTCGACGACTTCCCACGTTGTTCCGGTGGCCCAGAGGGACGTGGAACGAGTCAGCATTGGTTCATTCACGACCTACACAGGGGGATGGGTCGCGTATTCAAGATGCAACTCGGTTCAGAGTGCCATCGGGAAGGGAAGGGAAAGGGGTGTGGGCTTTGGGCCTAAGCTAACTATCTACGTACCCAACCACTGTACTGCACCCGTCTCCTCTCCTTTCTACATATCTACCACAAGGGAGCCGGATTCCGCTCCCACGGCCCCACATTCCACCGGGGTCGATGACCTGATGTCGGGAATATTGATGCTGAAGGAAGCGCAAATTGGCGCCAGCTTGTATATCTCAGTTAACAATCGGGCGTTGATGGGGGCGTGTGGCATAGATTGGGGGACAGGTGAGTTCAGCGCAGGTGCGAAGACGCCAACAGTTTGGCCCTCTCATTCGTTTCCTCTCTGGGCACAATGAAGTGCGGATGTGTTGTTTCACTCCTCGAACACCCCAAGATAGCAATATTTGCGTAAGGTGTGTCGACCACTGTCCCTCTGCCGCCGAAACCACTCCTTGGGGTGTTCTTCACATTTGTAGTAACGAGTTCGGTGAAGCGTAGTAGACGTCAGAGATTCTCTCACGGAGCAAAGAGATTGACAGCGAGGTCATTGTGGTTGTTTCCTGGCATTTGCATTGACACTACATGTTTCATAGCATACGTCTGGCGCTCTGAATGACTATGACCCTATATACTACCGCTTTGACGCCAGCCGGCTACACAAATAAGATCAAAACCCGAGGTTCTCGTCGTTGCCGCCATTATACGTTAGCGATATTCACTCCCCACAACTACATACAACATTGTGCTGAATCGAGAAGTGGGTGGTATTGTGATGGTGTTGCGGTCGGCGTTTGCACAGACATCTGTCTCCGAACATGGTGATTCCCCATTGAACGTGGTCATTCACGTCTGTCACCATCCATCCGTCGTAACGCTCCCATCGAGCAAGCGTGCGTCTATGCCGAGTCATTCCTCCGTGTAAAAATAGCTCGCATAAAGCGCCTGCAAAGCTTCCCGCATCGTCGTCGGACCCTCCCCTCGCTTCAGTCGCAGTAGATTCTTCTCCAGCATCCGCTCCCTCCGAATCCGATCCACGTACCCCTTGAAGATCCGGCGCACATGTACCCTCAGATCCAGCACATCATACGAAAGCCGCTCCATGTGTGCATACGATACCCACGCCGCTGGTAAGATGAGAGCCTGGAGGATTGACTGCGATTGCCGTTCACTGTACTTCTTACATTCCAGACAATGCTCGCAAGCGCATTTTGATGACTCCGCCCGTTGAATGTCTGATACTAGTTGCTCGAGGAGACGGACCATGAGGGGCTCACTGACTACGGGAGATCGCGGGAACTTGGGCACGTAGGCGTCCTTCAGCGCACGAGCTGCGACCTGGATGAAGATGTCGATCTTGGATACTTGTAGAAAATCCGCCAGCGCGACGTACAGAAGCGCAGTTTTCACGGTGCAGCCTAGATCCTCGGGTTGATGGGTGTAGAAGAACAACACTAGTCGTTGGAAACATTCGTCGCTGCGTGTGATTTCACCGACGGAGAACGTGTATCGACTCGTGCCATCGCCTGCCTTGCTTTCCAGATCATTATTTTGCTGCTGCTGCTGCTGCTGGGATTCTACGAACTGCGCTGAACTCTCGAAGTATTTTGAGCTTGCTTTCAGGACCCCGGAATGCACTTCCATTTGCTGCCGGTATTGAAGACTAGCGTGGTGTCGGCGGAGCTGCTGTCCTTGAATAGGGTCAACCCAGGCGGAAGAGACTCTGCTGGCGGTGAGGAGATCTGTGCTGTTTCGGCCATTGGTTTGGCAGTGTGGTTGTGAGAGCCGGCGACGGTTTGAGGGGAAATGTGGGGGTTGTTGGGAAGGTCTCACGCCTCGTTCTCCGTCCGTCGCCTCCGGGAAACAGCCAGGCAACCACCTCCCAATGCCCGTCCCCATTGCCCCCAACGAAACAATGTCCGACGAATACACCACACCCTCCCAGTTCCTCATCCTCCTAGACTCCACTGCCTTTCCATGCGCACGCATAGAGCGGATCGGAGAAGGCAACGCCAACTTCTCCTTCCGCGGCCACTTGAGCGAGCCCACCCCCAGCGGCCTCAAAACGGTGTTCATCAAGCATGCGGAGCCGTACGTCGCGAAATTCCGGGCGTTCAAATTTGGGCCGGAACGGAGTGTAGGTACATAAGAATCATACTGCACCTGCTAGCCAAAAGGTCTTGACTTATAATATCATGCAGAACTTTGAATACACCGTCCTTGAGCATCTAACCACCCTCGACATCTCAACCGATCGCAACACGGTCTCCACGCCGAGACCGCTCCAGTTCCTCCCAGACTCGCATACCGCCATCTACGAAGACGTGCAACAGTCCGAAACGCTCAAAACGGCATTATTGGCGGACCGTCTTTCCCGAGAGACCGCTGTGCACGTCGGCGCGGCGTTGGGGGCCTACATCGCGCGGCTGCACGTCTGGGGCCGGGATGCAGAGCAGGAGGCGCTGAGGCGGCATCTGGCGAGCTATGATGAGGCGACGAGGGTTATATTCAGCATGACGTATGGATCTTTCCACGGGCTGATCACGGCGTTTCCGGGTCTGCTGGCGGGGAATGAGGATCTTTTCGCTCGAGCGAAGCAGTGGGCTCAGGATGTGTTTTTTGGCGAGGACGGTGGCCGGAGGACGGTCACACATGGGGACTTTTGGACGGGGAATATCCTCGTTCCTAGCTCACTCTCGCAAACGGTGGCTGAGCCCCGTTCTCAGAACCTGCACGTGGTCGACTGGGAAGCCTGCCGCCTCAGCGCCCCAGGCCTCGACATAGGCCAAATGGTTGCGGAAATGTATCTCCCCTTCCATTTCCATGCCAACCCCGTCTCCCTAGCCCTCATCGACGCCTTCCTGGACGCGTATGCCCGAGCCGGAGATGTCCCTGTCGAGGAGGTGTTGACAGCGGTGAAACATTTTGGGATGCACTTGCTGGTGTTCCCGGCCCGGACGGGCTGGCCGAAGGAGGGTGTGGAGGAGTGTGTGAGGCTTGGGTTGGAGTATTTGGAACATGGGGTTGGGGGGGATGTGGAGTGGGTAAAGGGGAGTGTGTTTAAGAGGTTGGTGCGTATGTAGATGGGACTATTGCTGTAGTTTTCGTTGCGAGCCCTCGTATATCAGACGCGGACTATGTACTGTGTAGTGCTAGGTCATGGTGGGAGCACAATAGTTCCAAAAGCTCTACGTACCCATGGGCGATATCCGTTTTGCACGGGAATTGCATTATGATGGAAGGACTACATACATACAGCTTCAGGGCAAAGCGAACGATACCACCACACAGGCAGGTGTGTAGCAGGGAGGGGCCCTGCAGCTATCTGAGGACAGCCAAGCTGGGATGCATACCTTGCGGAGTAGCCAACCAGCTCACTTGAGGTATTGGGGTCAACTTCCCGGCAGAGCGGAGGGGTGGATGGGTTGCGAGGGGGGGAAGCTCACCGGCAACCTCACGCCACAAACTTCAATTCCTCTATCCGATGCTGAGAAACACCGCCCGAAAGGGGGGCCCTCGGTCAGTGCCATTCCACCCCGTCAACAGCCCCGCTGCCCCCCTCCTTCAACCCACCTGAGCATACTCCCCCTTGTACCGATCAAACATCTCCCTCAACTTCCCCATATACACCTCCCGCAACGCCACCACGTCCTGCTCGGTAGGTTTCGCGACCCGGCGCACGGGGATCGGCGCCCCGACGATGGTGACGAGCTTGTGCGCGTACGGGATGGGCGTGAACCAGCGGCCGTAGCAGATGGGTCTGTCGGACGGATGTGAGATTTCCGTCGGGGGATGGGATGTGAGAAGTGGGTTGGGGGGGGAGATGTGAGCGAACAGGGAGCAAGAACGTACATGGTGAAGCCGGTTAGGGCGAGGAAGCGGCGTTGGAGGCGGCAGAGGAGCGGGTGCCGGATTTGCGTCCAGAGTTGGTTTTCGCCGAAACTGAATGGGTGCGCGGATGTGGGTGGGGGGCGGGAAGTTGAATCCAGCAAGGATGCCATGATTGTGAATGTTTGCATAGACGGTGATGTCTCCGTCCCATCACACACGTACCTGTACACGGGGACCAGCGACGCTCTTCAAGGGACGTTTGCGTTAGCAGGGGAGATAAGGGGACCCACGATCCCCCATTTCGAGCCACCACGCCCACCACCTACCCATTCTCCAGCGCCAACTTAAAGAACCCCCTCCTGCGTCTCAACACCACGCGATGACACCCGGGCACGCTCTCCAGACTCTCCGCCGCGCCCCCGACGACGATCCCGACAGCTTTATCCGTCCCGCGCGACAACCAGTGTCGGATCGAGTTGCGCTCGACGGAGATGAGCCCGTGGATGAGTGCGATCTCCCGCACGATCGGGAGCTGGAATACGAGGGAGAGGACCGCGACCCGACGGTCGATGTGCGGGAAGAGCGTCGGGAAGCCGCCGACTGCGTGCATGGAGAGCGGGGGGTCAGGTCCGGGATGGTGGTGATGCATGCGATGCCTTTCTTACCGTCCGTGATGATGTTCAAAAACCCGGAGTAACCTACGAATGTCCATCCATCAGCGTGGCCCGACCCCTTGTGCACCCCATATACATCGGCGGCTGATTCTTACACAAGACTCCTGTACAGACCGGAACGCATCAGTCAAAAGAAACACTTCCGATGCGACACACGCGGATCCGGGAGCGCAAACACTAACCATGAGGATGAATGCCGAGCAGATACCTGTGTTCGGTGTAGCCCCCCCGCATCAGAACCATAACACGTCCGAATTCACAATCACCTCCACACAAACTTACGGCCCCTTCGCCGGATCCAGCTCCGCCTCCCTGTGCAGCGTCGCTCCCAGATAACTCCTACGGAAGTCAATCAACCACCCCGTCCCGGCCCATCCCCCGATGCATCCCCCAAACAGGAGTGGAACCTACAACAGATGCCCCGGCAAGTACATCACATTCCTCCACCGTCTGCTGACCCGCCCGTTCCCGCCCCGCACGGGCGCGTTGTCGAAAAACATATACCATGCCACGTATACCACAAACGGCAGCCTAAACAAGAAAAAAAAAGGGGGCAGTCATGTCAGTTCCGGTGAAAGGGGGCCGGCATTTTTTTGCGGCGAGCCCAACGTACCGCAAGAAAGTCCACCGTATCAACGCCCACGCCAACGCGACGGGGAAGAGGGTGATCATGAACACGGGGACGAGGGAGGAGACGAGTTGGAGGGTGAGGTGCAGCGGGCCGGTGCAGTGGGGTGGGTGGTCGTGCATGGTGGTGGAGGAGGACGCGGCGAAGTGGGTTGCTGCGGGCATGTTGGTTCAGTCCACAGAGCTTTATAGACGGATGGAGGAAACTCAAGCGATCATCTCTTATGGTTAGAGCGGAAATGGATTGGTGTGCGCAGGATGGGCTCTCCAGACATGTTTCTGCATGACCGGTTTCCGCTGGATGCGTCGACAGCGCGTCACGCTGGCGGTAAGTGCTGCAGGAGGGAACAGCCCAAAAAGCAACAGCGCGTCAAGTGGACTGACAGCGTGTTTTGCTGCGCGGCCCTCACCGTATTTTCAACAGCGGGCGGTTTCAATGAATGGGGTTCACCCGGCCGGGTTAAAGGTTTGCGAGATGTACATATACTGTAGCGAGATTTTGAAGATGCAGGAGGCCCCGAGAAGCCTTATAGCGATAGGCGGCAGATAGCCCTCGAAGGGTCCAGATCCGGGGAGGGCCTGAATCCTGCTGTAACTTGTATCGCTCCAACGTGTGATGGAGAACAGGTTAGGTAGGGATGGGGAAAAGGTTTTGCTCATGCCTCTGAGGTGGGGGATGTACGTTTGCCTGCGTGTCCTTTTGGCATTTGTGTATGAAAAAAAAAACTTACTTCCCAGGGGAAATGCAGCTTGGCAATGATATTAGAAAAAAGGGGAATGATGCGTGCAGCAGAATACCTCCAACATCGAGACAAAAATCTGCCTTCGGGATTACCCGTTTCCAGAGCCACGACCACCTATTTCCATAAGCCGTTAAAAAATCTCCATAGCCCCCCTTCCAACCCCACCCCCCCGCCCCTAATAGAAAACCGATTCCCTGCCCCCAAACCCGCCCACCACCTTCCCCCGCTCCTCCTCCTCCTGGCTCCCCACCCTTCTCAAATACGCCTCCAAATCCCCCGCACTCATCCCCACCCCCGCAGCAGCAGCAGCCTGCACAACCCTCCGTCCCGCCTCCACACCCACAGCCCTCAGCCGTAAATCCCATCGTTCCACCTCGGCCGTCATATCCACATCCGCGGCCAGTTTGGTCTGCATCGTGGGTGAGAGTGTGACGATGTTGTGGAAAATGAGGTGTGAGAGGAGGGCGGGGTCGGGGGTGAGGGTTAGCGTGTGGGGTGCGGTCGGTGGGAATGGTGAAGACGGGCGGTGGCAGTGGAGGATGTGGAAGGTGTGTAGGGCGATGAGTTGGGCGCGGCGGAAGAAGTAGATGTCTGTTCAAAATGGATGGTGGGTTAGAAAAAGAGAGCGGGCGGGGTGTATGTTCCGAGATGAATGGGATAACTCACCAACCCCGCCCCACCGCTCCATATCCCTCAACGACGGGATCGTCGTCACGAGGGCTTCCACCAGGGCGTCCATGGACCCCTGCCGCGCCGCGTCCAGGATAAAGTGGCCCAGGTTGCGGTATCCTTTTTCTTTGAGGAGTGTGCCGGTCTCGTTGATGACGTGTAGGAGCTGCTCGGCGTATTTGCGGAGCGGGTGTGGCTCTGTGAGGGTTATTGGCAGCGTGGCGTGGGGGACGTCCCGCGTGAGAGGGATGTTGAAGAGTTCGGAGACCTGTGAGGTGCAAGAGCCATGGTTCAACATCTGGCGGGAAGGGCGGTGGGTCAAAACAACTTTTGGACTGACCAGCGCTAGCCCCATCTTACTCATATACTCCCCATCGATCTTTGTCGCCGAAATATGCATCGACATCACACCTTTAAACACACTCCGATCAATACAATGCCTCTCCCATTGCCCACCTCATCCCCAGCCGACTTACCAAAAAGCACAGTCCCCCCCGCATCCCTCTCCCCCAGCATATCATCCCACCCACTCCCAAACCCCAACAACCCAATTAACCCCATCACATTGCACTCCTGCTCCACACTCTCGAATTTCAAGGGAAGTCTCACAGTAGGCTGGTTGGCAACATCTTCATAGATACCACGATCCAATCCCTCCACAAATGTCGATATCGCATCGCTGTTTATCTGTGCCATTTGGAAATTAGATTCAGGGCAACGGAGTCAATCAAGGGGGATGAGAGGGGTCCGAACGAACCGAGATATCCGGGGCGGCGAGCTGGGCGAGGGTTGTGCAGGATGAAGAGACGGTGGAGAGGAATTGGCCGGGTGATGGGAGGGGACAGGGGGTTGAGGATGGGGTGGCTATTGAGGGCATTGTTCAGGCGAATGTGGTTGGTTTTGAGGGGTTATTGTATGGGGGTAAGTGAGGGACAGGGAAGGGCACCGGGGGTGTGTGCGGGTTGGAGGCGGCGAGAGGAAGCGGTTGCTAGAAGGGACTTTGCGCCTGGGGTCGTGATCGTCAGCTTTGTCAATGATTAAATGGGGTTGGCGTGGGCGTCGGATCGATGTCGATGTCCGCTGGGCTTACTGGACTGACTCGAATGCAGATCGGACAACACGTCGCGCTCACGGCCCAATGCAACGAACATGCAGCTTGCGGCGACCGCTGTTGCTGCAAGTCGCTCCGGAGAAAGCACATACTGCTTGTACAGTACAGCACTCACTGCCTGCTCCAGATCTAACATACGGGCAGCGGTTCTTTCTTACTGGGCAAATCGGGTCATCTGGAAAGACGCATCGGATGCAGAAAGGGGGATGGTATGTATCGACTATGAGTAGACATCAAAAAAATGAAATGCTCTGCATTACGGTGCCAGAAAGAGACCTAAACTGGACTAACGTGTGGTAGGGGTAACGTCATATGTAGGGACAAGGGAAGGATATAGGAAGTATGACACTGTAACTTGAGGCTTTGAAAACGGAGGGGCAAAAGACAAACCTCGTCAAGATAAATGAACGGGGGTAGGCAAAAGGCGAAAGTGTTGCGACTCGTCCCACATCACACTCAAGCGGACGCATTCGCCGCCCTCGCACCCTCCCCACCAGCAAGCACATCATCGTCATGCACAGGCAAATAAACCCCTCCGCTGACCCCATACTTTGTCGGGTGGGCCCTCAAATCCACAAAGTAGCTGTAAACGCATGCGGCATAGTAAACCGACAACGCGGTCCCAAACACAAACGAGACGGCGACCGACCACGTCTGCATCGCGCATGAGAGCTGCAGCTCTGGGTTTGTTGGGGGGAGGGGGGCCGGGGTAGGGGAGGGTTCACCGTGACCGTGGCCGTGGCCATGTTTGCCGAACCCGGTGACGACGGCGTCCCCGTCACGGCAGTTGACCGCAAAGACGACCAGACTAACCACGCCCGTCAAGAACTTTACAACGGTCTCAACGATGTTGAAGTAAGCAAACAGCCTGACTTTAGCAAGGTCGTTACGGATCGCGCCATAGAGACCCAGGGCGGAAAAGGCGATGGTGGTGAGTGCCCAAGCGGAGTCAGCGAGGAGGAGGACGGTGAACGCGCGGACTTTTTGGACGGGAGGGAGTGGGTGGGAGGGGTCGATGGGGTCCGGGGAGTTGGGGTCGTCTGGGGTGAGGAAGCGGCCGCCGGAGCCGATGACGTCCCACTCGAGGAGGAGGGAAAGGATGGAGCCGATCTGTTTGTGGGGATATGATATGGAGATAGTTAGAGAGCATGCAGGGCGGTATGCTTTGGCTTTTACCGCTTGGCACGAGAGAGACTTACGAGAGCGAGCGAGGAGAGGATGATTGTGCCCGTCCTGAGCGAGAAGCAGCCGCAGCAGGTGCGCAGGGACTTGAGACGGCGGGTTGTTGTTGCGATGGGTTCGGCCATTGTTGCTGGGTGGGTGGCTGGCTGGTTGAGAGGATGAGGAGGTGTGTGCGTATGAGGATCAGACGAGTTGTTCGGGGGGGGGGGGGGGGGGGGGCGTCCTTTTGAATGGCTTTGTGGAGGCTTTTGGAGGCAGTTTTGGAGGGGTGGGAACTCGCAGCTGAGAGAGCGACAGACAGAGAGAAGTCACCGGCTGGTCGCGCACACCGGACACACCCATTTGGGGGCGCGTGACTTCTACCACCAAGAACATCTGTGGGAGAGGATCTGATGACCGATGTGAGGAAGAGGCTTGGGGACGTGAAAAACGCCAAGTCTCTTGCTTCTCTATTCTGCGTACAAGTTGCCTTCATCGGCGACGCCTCAGGCAGAGGTACAATGATGTGGATGGCAGATAACCACCACGGAAAATGGGATGGGGTGAAATCTAGACTACCGGTTACGGGAGAATGCGTCTGGTCTGCGGCCATTGCCAAACACCACCGAACGCACAATGAAGAGGAAATTCTTGGTGCTCAGGACGTCCCGATTGTGCACTCTCATCCGTAGTCGTAGTGGTCGTTGTCTTCCAGGAATCTCAAATGGCGTCCAGTCTTGGTTGATACATTCGGGGTTGGGGCAACCCACCAATCCATGGACGAATTCCATTCTTCCTTTCTAGCTTGCCACGGCCGAGATGACAGCCGGCGTCGGATGTTTTTCTTCACACGCCCGTGGCAGTCTGGGCACACGGACGACGTTCGATACTCATCCAGCAAGTAGCATGGAATGCCGTTTCTCGCAAAGAGTGTGCGGAATCTAAATTCCATGATGAGTTAGCATATTATAGTACATAAAAAACAATGATGGTCACTCACCCCTTGGTTTTCGATGACTCCTGAAAGCGCATCGTTTTCCCAGCATCGCTCCAATCACCCAAGATGACCGAAAAATGCTTTCCATACCGGCACCGCATGTTCTTAATGAGCTTGCTCTCAGACTTTTGCCGCAGTGAGAACGCCTTGAACCTGCGAGCGACGTGAATCTCATCCTGGTAAAACTCATCCAAGGCGGGATCTGGGATATGGATGGATGTCAGCCCATGTATTACTAAATTTGAAGACAGCGCATAATACATCATACCTGCATGTATGTGATCCACAATGAACGCTGAGAACGCCTCGATGTTCATGCTCTTGTGCGATGGAATATGTGATTCCATCTCAGCGATGCCGGCATTGATCTTTCGCTCTCTCATGTCTCTTTGAAAGTACCGAGACTTTGTCTCGACCGCCCGTTGATTGGATGTGTATCTGGTATGGGGTGGTGCATTGTGAGAACGCTGCAACGGAATGTCGCCGCAATGGGGATGGTGGGCGGAGACGGGGGGCTGGGGGGCGGAGACAGGGGGCTGGGGGCGGAGACGGGGGGCTGGGGGGCGGAGACGGGGGGATGGTGGGCGGAGACGGGGGGCTGGCGGGCGGAGACGGGGGGATGGTGGGCGGAGATGGGGGGCTGGGGGCGGAGACGGGGGGCTGGGGGGCGGAGACGGGGGGGCTGGGGGGCGGAGACGGGGGGCAGTAGTAATCAACTGAATCGACGCTGTCGCCGCTGTCGCCGCTGTTGCCGCTGTCGCCGCTGTTGCCGCTATCCCCGCTGTCGCCGCTGTCGCCTCTGTCGCCGCTATCCCCGCTGTCCCCGCTGTCGCCGCTGTCGCCGCTGTCGCCGCTGTCGCCGCTGTCCCCGCTATCCCTGCTGTCCCCGCAGTCGCCACTGTCGCCCTCCTCAACCCTCCCCGTCCCCGTCCCCGTCCCCACGATCCCCTTCGTTCGACATTCTGCAATCAGCTGAAACTTACCTAAATGGCCGCTCCTTCTTGATGTCTCGGCAGAACAAGAGGTCACGCTTGCCCGGATCAATGCTGACGATGTTTGGAGCCTCCCGTAGTTTGGCGATGTGGTGCTCAAAATACAGCAGCTTGACTTCCTCCCGCATTTGGGCCTTGCTGCGCTTCCAGGGCCGATGCCCATACTTGAGCCCTGGCTTCTTGAAGTGGATGGTAGCGGAATACCCGTTTGTGCTGATTGACCCATCAAATTTGAGACCAAGCTTCTTTCGATGCTTGAAGACCTTGTCCTACAATCCGTCATTCAGCAAGGTAATCAGATTGAAATAAGCGCAGAAGGATACAGACTTACATTGATATTGAGAAACTGCCCCCACAGCTCCCGCTTGCGTTGATCGGTGAGTTTCCCCATGCGATGGTGGCCCAAGGCCAGGATATGAGTGGTTAGGATCTTCGTGTCGATCCGAACAGATGACTGGATTCAAGATTTGCGCAGCGGGATAGCGGAAAACAGCCGCATTCCACGGCGCTCATAGAGGCGTGAGAGCTCACAATAGGCACCTGTGATGAGGCAGGTGCGGACTATGATTAGACAAAAGAAGAAGCAGCGGGGGGGGGGGGCGTAAATATACAGGATGTAACTCACCTAAATATGGCATTGCGTCCACCGCAAGGCTGTATGCAAGCGGTTCATCCTGGGGAGGAAACAGAGCCCATAACTCATCGAGGACGGTCCGCTCAAGTCGTGTGAGGCGCGCAAACTCTTCTTCGGTTGGAAACTCTTCAAACGTCGCATACTTTTTAAACTGACGGACACGCTGATAATAGTGTTGCCGCTGCGCTCGGTTGACTCCAGCTCTACGGAGATGCAGTACAACTTGCTTCAAACCAAGCCTTTCATTGACGTAGCGCAGAAACATTTGCATGAAATGCTCTTGTACGTTAACTTTGAGGTTTGTGAAGATGCTCGTAGCTGTGTACGCTGCGGTCTGTTGGCAATACCGCATGCGGATGGGGGCGAATCCGTGAACATCACAGTAGTCTTGAACCCATGGATGCAACTCTTGCGCGATGACCGGATTGCCGTTGTAGCCTGGATTGTTTAGCAGCTCAAATATCACACTGATGTGCTTGTCGGTGATGTCCGGGAAATCGTGTAGAGGATGATCAGCTGTGGTGGGGGGCAGACGTAGCAGTCAGGACATTGGTTTATGGGAAATATACAGTGTACCTCAAAAACTCACCAAGGTAGTACTTGAGAAAAAAGCTGGTGTGGCGCGCAAGGATGTGAACATTGCCGATGAATGTTGTCAGGCGCTCCCTTTGCTCCCTTTGAACTTGATTATGGATGATTCGGTGAAGCGAAACCTTGGTGCTGGCATGTGTTTGCGGGCGGGGTCGTTGAACTGGTGGTGGTGGCGGGGGCTCAAGCACCAGGGATCCACCCGGTGTGCTGGGAAAAAGGAAAGGGATGGGAGCGGGGAGGTTCAACGGGCACTGCAGACCCCTGTCCGCGGGTGAAAGCCCTCGCTGCGGCAGCAGCTGCTGCTGCCCGTCTTCATCGCCGGAGCTCTCGCCGGAACTCTCGCTAACCATGTCTGCAATTGCTTGGGGCAAGTGGCGTTGGACAGACGGTGGGAATTCGAATCGCGGGGGTGGTTGCAATGGTGTCTGCACAGCGGTTGGCAGACGTATGGGCAACCGCGGGGTAACCGGAGCAACCTTCCTCCTCTTCCGCCGTGGTGTGGTAGCTCCGGTAAAGATGCCACACCACAGGTGCCCCTGGAGCGCCTGGTGTGACGGCATGATGGCCGTGCTGTGCCTTAAGTCAGCCGAGACGGGTGGTGATTGCCGTGATAGCTGTGTGTCAAGGAACTCACGTCAGTGCTGTGGTAATGAGGCTGAGAACGGTGAGGAATTGCGGTTGTTACCTGGTGGCGGGGTAGGGGTGGCGAGACGGGAATAAGATATCCAGAAATACGTTGTCAGAATCTCAAGGCAGACTACAGTACGATGTGGTGTGAGGACCACCTGCAGCAGACGCCCAACTGTCCTGCAGGCATTCGTTCATACAAGCGCAAGACGGCGTGTGGGGACCGCGACAACAACGAGGACTTTCGTGAGATCAGGTGTTCGGAGCTCCCGTACGATATCAACAGCCTGAGCTTGGACGACCTACAACAGGCCAAACCAGAACTGCTACGACGGCAAGACCAGGTGAGGCGTTGCTTACAAAGGCGCAGAAGTTTTGAAGAGGCCTGCATCCACGGCAGCCAGCGGGACCAGAGGCACGCTAACGTCTTTCTCGATTTGGACGATGAGGGGGTACTATGTGAAGAGCTTCGCACTCGACTATTAGATCGCCTTTCACGGTTAGAAAGAGAGTTCTTTCATGAAAGGGAAGCTGCCCAGGCCGATGTACGAGAGGCCGGGGAGAGGCTGCAGACGGTGAGCAATAAGATAGAGCAGGTAAGCGAGGTTGCTAGCCCGTTTCGCTACAACAGATACTCAAGCACTTCCCGTCCGCAGGTCCAGGCGCTACGGAGAGGTAAGGGCTCACGAAGAAAGTCCAATGTTCCCGCACATCCTATTAATCCACCTATAGATGAAACACAGCTTGACAGGGCGTATGAGGATGCCCGGGTAGTGTTGGTGGAGAGTATAGAAGATCTTGCGGACCGGTTTGAAGACGGACCCGACGCCTTCGAGTACCTGCTCTTTGCGGCGTGGTTGCAGTTGATGGACGATCGAGGGCTTCAGTTCATACCGTTCAGCGGGAATATTTACGTGGCCCTCGTCCGCACCCCATCGATGACCCCCGAATTGTTGAGCAGGCTCCTGGACATGGTGCGACGGCCCTCTGCAGGTCTTTTGGCGTTGGGTCAGGCATATAGTCGTAGAGGTCTAGAAGATGCTAGTTAATAAGCCGAACGACATGCAAGTTGTAAGTTAACTCCCACTTTTTGTAGCCGACATGTCGATGATCACACTAGGGCGTTTCACTAGCCCCCAATAATCGAAAACAGTAACGGCAGATAATTGCGAGATTAGCGAAACTACGAGCGCGTTTCGCGACGCGTCCAGAGTTCGTGCGCGCAGGCTCCCCCCAATCACGTCCCGATGATCTGTCGGGCTTCTCCCGATTTTCTGGGGCTAGTGAGGCCCCCGTTCCCCAGTTCCGCTACTTCAGGGTGTAGAAAAACAGGATTTTTGGGGGGAGAGCAGCAAAAAGGCCTCCAGCGAACCTGGGGTCTTCAGGACCTTGGGGGTGTTCCGCCTCCCCGCCCGCACCAACAACGAACCCCCCTCACCGTACACCCCCCCCATTGCCCCCGACACCATGTTGTCTGCTGACGCTGGACCCTCTACTGCCGGGGCTCCCGGGGCCCACAAGCCCCGGGCAAAGAAGCCAAGCGCGAAGTCCGCTGCGGGGAAGCAGCGGGCGGACGGTGAATACGCTTTTTGGGACAACAAAGGAGAGGCGCTCTTGGTGGATTGGCTCTCTACGGGCGAGAACTCCAAGGCCCTGCAACATCGCGACACCCCGACGCCAACGGGGTCAACCGCTCGAAGAAGGATAGGCGAACGGACGTGATTCGGAAGATAAAAATGTTCATGTATGAGAACCGAAAGGACATGACCGAGACTCACATCAAGAACAAGCTTGCACAGTGGGATAAGAAGTTCAAGGAGGCCCAGTGCCGATTCAATCAGACGGGGGAGGGTCTCACGGAGGAGGAGAAGAGGAATACCCCCAACATACAAACCTGTATTGTCAAGATCTTCCCGTATTTCTTAAAGCTCGAGCCTTATTGGTCCCACGCTGGCACGACGGCCTTGCACTCGGTAGGGTCTCAGGAGTCAATGGCCGACTCGTCAATCTTGCCCTCGAACCTCGCCGCCGCGCTGGTCCCGGGGGCCCCACCACAGTCACCTTCGCTTTGTGAGTCGCCGGACGAGGCCGGGACGCCGGAGGACTCGGAAACCGCGGGGTCCCATGAAACGCCGCAGGACACGCAGTCCGAGACACAGAACCCGTCGGAGACGCCGCCAGAGACGCCGCCAGACACGCAGGAGCAGCTGGGGTCGCAGCTTCACTCCCAACTGGGAGTTTTTGCGCGTATGGAGTTGCAAATGGCCCAGGAGGACATACTGGAGGGGTCCGCAGCCGGCGATGGGGAGTCCCCAACCTATGGGGGGCCGTCTAGCGGTTGGCAGAGTCATGATACACCCGCTCCTCCTGTTCCGGTGGTCCCCGCTACCCCTGTCGTGCCTGCCACGGCATCCGGGGAGCAGGTCTCTGGCGCGCAACCCCTCTCCAGCGCTCGTAAGGCTCTGTACCAGGTGCAAACCAGTCAGTCTACCGCCGCTAGCCCGGCAGCGTCCGCCCTGCACACGCCCACGCAGGCAACTATGAAAGCCACTAGGAAGCAAAAGAGCTCCGCCGTATCGGATCTCGCGGACCCCGTTACGTCGGATGACAAGGCCGGGAAGAGCGGGGCAGGTAGTAGTCGCAGCGCCCGGGTGAAATCCGGGATGATGACTGTCATCAGTGCCGTGATGGCGGGCGGGATAGACCGAACTCGCCTCAAAATGGATATGGAGGAGCGCCGCATGGCAAGGGAATCTGCGCTGGATGAGCAGATACTTGAAGAGAGGCGGTTGGACAGAGAGGAGGCCGGTCAACGCTTTCAGTTGGAGCTTGAGGAGCGCCAAGAGGCGAGGGAGGCAGAGCTCGAGGAGCAGTGGTTTGCCAGGGAGTCCGCGGAGTGACAATTCCAGCTGGAGCTTGAGGAACGGCGCGCGGACGCCGAGAGACGCAGGCTGGACAGCAAGCGCAAATGGGATTTCAAGATGAAGGCCATCGAGATGAAGGCCAGGCTGCGGGACACCAAACCCACCGCGCAGTAGGCTGGTTTGACGAGCGTGTCCCCCCCCCCCCCCCCCTCCCCCCTCCGCACCTCTACCTCTGGCGTCGTGGGCCCTGTACTCCCGTCTATACCATGCATGGATTTAAAGGTGTTCCGTGGTAACTCGCATATGTCAGAAATATGACGCCTGTTGACTCTATGTCCCCCCGGGACCAGCTCGGCCCGTCCCTCTTACCTGCTCCCCCTGCCCCTGTGGGCGGGCGTCTGCCACGCGTCCCAGCGGTAGGGCTCGCCGGTCCCCCCACACCCCACTACCCCCACATGTTTCAGCCCGCGCGTGCACCCCATACCGTCCGGTGCTCGCTCCTCCGCTGTCTACATCCACCCATAAAAGTTGGGGTGGGCACGCCTCCCCCCTCGTCTCAGCGCACACAGCTGTCAGTGGCTTGCGCGTTTTCAAACAACCCTGCGGACCCAGCCCCCTCTATGTCCAAGCAACTCGCCACGACAGGCGGAGACTTGACTCCGCCGCCCCTGTCATACGGAGATCCGGGCTTGCGCCATGTGACAGCGCACCTCCTAGCTCTCTTGTAAGTGAAGAGTGAGGGTCCTGCTTGGGGTCCTGCTGGCCGTTCTGATGACGCTTGCAGATATATCGAACTGCGGGACATGTTCGAATGGGTACCGACGGACGAGATATTCAAGGCCATTGCACGATCCTCGACGACTGACTATCAGGTGAGCCGGGACCTGGCGATCGCGCATTTGAAGTCCTTGCCACCTGGTACGTCAGACAGTTCGTTCCTTGTGTTGTTCCTTGTGTGTGGCGGACCCCACTGACCCCGTCTTCTGATAGCGCGCCTGCTTGTCACCCCGAGGCGCGCGGCGTCACACCACCAAGATGCACCAGCTGGCACGGGGTTGAAACTCCTCGCGGCCATCGAGACTCGCATGGCAACCGCCGCGAGCAGTGGCAGGATCACGGCGCAGGAAGTGATCAAGTTGGGGAGTAGCGACTCCAAGGATGTTGACCCGAGCTACCGTCCTGCAGGGGCGATCAAAGTGATCGAGGTGAACTCGGATGAGGAAGAGCCTCAATGAAAGCGACTCAAGAAGGGTAAAGGGCGTGCGACAACCCCTCCCCCGACGAGCAAGAAGGGACCCCCCGACTACTACTCGAAAGCGCCGGGTGGGTCGGGCCTGACCCATGCTGAGAGAGACGCTATCCCGGGCGCTCCCGTTGCCCCCGCCGCCCCGGTTGCATTTGAACCAGGTCCATTTGAGCGGGTCCGCACGCCGTACCATGGCACAGGAGCGGGCAAGAAGGAGGACACGAGAGCGAAAGGCAAGAAGGAGTACACGGGCGCGAAAGCCAAGAAGTAACGCGCGTAAGTAACATTCCTCTACCATGTGGGTCGTACGCCCGGGCCCCGCAGACAGTTACCCGTTGACGTCCGAGACAGCTTTAGAATATCGCGGAGGCCGAGCGGTGTGCGCGTGGGCAACCGGTGCAACAAGCGAGCAAGGAGACATCTCCAGCGCTACTAGCAAGGAGAGAGTCGTAGCAGCTTTGCAAACGGGGTGGGAGAGAGAGGAGACGGGGCGTCACAGGCCCTAACGTGAATATATAGTCAGCAGAAACAGCATTCTTAGTTATAGCGCTTGCAGGAACAAACACAATACACCTTGCGCACGCGCCCCTATCATCCCACCTCCATGTTATGGACGACGCGTCCATACCATGCGCTTACCTCATGACAGCATCCCAACAGTCAGTCAATGTCAATTCTCTGTCAAAACCTGACATCTGCCAAACCTCGCAGCCGCACGCAGCCGCGCTACCCCACACCTGCCACTGCCTTCATTTCTCCACGCAGCCGCACGTAGCCACACCTCCCAACACTCGGCGCTTACAAACCCTTCTCCATACTTCCCCATGTACCCGCCCACAGCCTCAGCGTAGCCACCCCATCCCCAGTCTTCTGTTTCTATGCTTCCCCACCCTTGGCGCTTCTCTTGGCTTCCCTCTCATTCCGTACCCTTCTGCTTCCCCACGCTTCCCCAGCCTTCCCAGAAAAACATAAATAGCCGCCTCCCCTGAGCTCCCCACTTCCTGATCCCCCAGCAGATCAACACCAGTTCTTCCTAGTCTTGTTCTAGTTCTTGTTTCGGTCTGAATACCATTACCTGTCAACAACCTGCACCACAAGTCGCCTCTATTTCCATCGGCTCCGCCCATTCATAACAGTTTGATCTGCTCAACAACCCCCAGCCGCTGTACCTCCACGCCAAATCACCATGTCCGACGCCCTTCCCCTCACGGCCGAAGCCTGGCAAGCCATGTGCAATGCGATTGACGAACTTCGAGCACAGAATACCACCCTACAAGCCGAACTAGCGCAAACCCAGACCACTGCCCCTGCCACCCACGCCCCCGAACCCAAAATCAGTCTCCCAGACAAATTTGATGGCACCCGAAGCAAGTTCCGTGGGTTCCTCAACCAGATCCGGCTCATGTTCGCCCTCCAACCCAGGCGCTACCCCAACGATCAGACCAAGATACGAACTATTGGCACCTACCTCACTGGCACCGCCCAGGCCTGGCTGGCGCCCCTTGTCGAACAAGACCATCATTCCCTTACGAACCTGGATGATTTCATCCAGCAAATGCAAGCAGTCTTTGGAGACAGCGACAGGATCCGCACGTCCGAAAACAAGCTCCAGAACCTTCGACAAACCCGTGCAGCAACAGAGTATGTAGCTGAATTCCGACAGCTGCAATGCGATGTGTTGTGGAATGACCAGGCATTGATTGCCACCTTCCGTCGCGGCCTCAAAGAAGACGTCAAGGACTTAATGCTCACGATGCCCCCTACCGCCTCAATCGACACCGTGATGGAACAGGCCATCCAATGTGACAACCGATTGTTTGAGCGCCGTCTAGAGCGAAGCAGGAACCGACAGCCATATGTGCCAGTTACCACTAGCCCCACCCTCATGAGCCCCGACAACCGCCCAGACGACCCTATGATCATTGACGCTGCTCGTCCGCGAGGACCCCTCACACCGCTAGAGCGCCAACACCGCATCACAAACAAACTTTGCCTCTACTGTGGTAAACCCGGCCACATAGCCAAACTCTGCCCGAACAAGATACGCACGGCGAATGTCGCGGTTAAGGAACCTGCACCCATCCAGGATTTTGCCCAAGTCCAGCTGCAGTAAAGGCCGAGCAGCTGGGCAACACCTGTCCTGGGCCTTCTCACCACGCAAGTACTGCCAAGGGAGAAGCCACAAAACCTTGCTCCGATCCTGGCATCTCCAGCAACACCCTTCTCCTGACCACCAACAATGTCAATCTCCTATCTGAGATACCCTCACCCATGCGGACTTTGGGCCCATCCTCACCATTCGAGTACCCTGTTACCCTGCAGATATCGGCCCAGCGAGCTCCAGTTCAGCTTTCAGCACTACTCGACACCGGTGCGATGTCGTGCTTCATCGACGAAAGTTATGCCCGCAAGCACCGCATCCCACTGGTCAAGAAGGAGGACCCCATTGCGCTTGAACTGGTTGACGGACGTCCCAGCCATGCGGGCTCCATTACCCATCACACCCAACCTTTAGGCATGTGGGTCAACGACCATTTTGAGGAGGTGGTATTCCATGTGACATGTTCCCCGCATGCGCCAATCATCCTGGGGCTTCCCTGGTTTGAGCTCCATGATGTGGAGCTACATTGGAAGACTCGCACTCTTTCCATCCGCTGCCATTGCGGTTTTGGACAATACGCCTCCTGGGATGCCCTGCCAACAGAACCTAGCCCGAAGCCCTCAAGAACCCCTGAACCTCTGATCCGTATCCATCAAGACGAGATTTCAGTCTCCCTAGCCCAGACACCCAACACACTGGACCCAGCACCCACACCGATCCACGTATCGTTTATCAGCGCCCCAGCTTTCCGTGTGGCGGCAAGGCATGACCAGGCATTCATTGCCTACGCCAATCCGACCAAGTCAGATTCCCAAGCCCTGGCGACCACTCCTCCAAAAGATCCGAAGGCCATCATTCCTGAAGAATACCAAGATTTTGCGGACGTCTTTGCCAAGAAGAACGCGGATACCCTCCCAGAGCACTGACCCTACGACTGTCCCATCGACTTAGAAGAGGGCAAACAGCCACCGTTCGGCCCGATCTATAGTCTCAGCGAGCCTGAAATGCAGGCACTCTGTGACTACCTTGAAGAGAACCTAGCTAAGGGGTTCATCAAGCACTCCAAGTCTCCCGCCGGTGCCCCAGTCCTCTTTGTCAAGAAAAAGGACGGTTCCCTCCGTCTGTGCGTCCACTATCGTGGACTCAACAATATCACCATCAAGAATCGCTATCCCTTGCCCTTGATTAACAGCATCATGGATCGTCTTCGAGGGGCACGCCGGCTCACCAAGATTGACCTCCGGGGAGCCTACAACCTTCTTCGGATCCGGCCAGGGGATGAATGGAAGACAGCGTTCCGATGTCGCTACGGCCTATTCGAGTATAATGTCATGCCGTTTGGGCTCACCAATGCCCCTGGAGTATTCCAACACCTCATGAACGACATATTCCGTGACATTCTCGACGTTTTTGTTGTGGTCCACCTTGACGACATTCTGATCTTCTCAAAAAACCCAGAAGACCACCCCACCCACGTCCGAGAGGTGCTCTCACGACTCCGCCAGCACGGGCTGTATGCGAAACCGGAAAAATGCGAATTCAACCGTGACTCTGTTGAGTTCCTGGGGTTTATCATCTCCCAGCAAGGCATTTCCATGGACCCAAAGAAGACGGCTGCCATTACCGAATGGGAACCCCCGACGAATGTCAAAGGCATCCAGCGCTTCCTTGGTTTTGCCAACTTCTACCGGCGATTCATCAAAGGGTACTCTGCGATCGTTGCACCCCTGACCACGCTCACTTGCAAAGACTTGCCATTCAAATGGACCCACGCTGCACACCTAGCTTTTGAAACCCTCAAGAACGCCTTCACCTCCGCACCTATCCTGACTCACCCCGACCCTGACAAGCCCTTCATTGTCGAATCCGATGCCTCCGACTTTGCCCTTGGCGCCGTCCTCCTTCAACCCGATGACACAGATCAACTCCACCCCGTGGCCTTTCACTCCCGCAAATTTACTCCTGAGGAAATCAACTATGAGATCTACGACAAGGAACTCCTGGCTATCCAAGACTCATTTGCTCAATGGCGACACCACCTCATTGGTGCCCGCCACAAGGTTATCGTTTACTGTGACCACAAGAACCTCCAGTACTTCATGACTACCCGTACCCTCAACCGCCGCCAATCCCGCTGGTCAATCTTCTTTGCTGATTTCGACTTTGTCATCACATACCGCCCTGGTACCCAGCAACACCAAGCTGACGCCCTCTCTCGTCGCTCTGAATACGAGCTAAGGGAGGGGGAAGAAGCATTCCGCTCCCAGGAAACCACGATCCTCACCCCTGACCATCTCCGCCTGGCCGCCACTTATCTGACCCCACTGGACTCCTCGCTCCTTGACCAAATCAAAGCTGCCCTGGCATCCGATGTGTTTGCGCAAACCATCCGGCGACAGCTTAGGGCCCCCATTGCCCAGCAATCTCAAGAAGACCAAGAACGGATAAAGCGATTCTCCGAGGAAAATGGGGTTCTGCTATACGACAACCTTGTCTACGTCCCCACCAACAAGCTCCGTGCTGAGATCTGCCGGGACATGCATGACACGCGTTTGGCAGGACACTACGGCATGTCAAAGACCCTGGAGCTCATCTCACGCAACTACTGGTGGCCTAGCCAGTGGCGTTTTGTCAAGTCCTACATCAGGTCCTGCGACGTATGTGCTCAAGCCAAGACCAGCAGACAAAAGCCCTACGGTCTCCTCCAACCCCTGCAGATCCCTGACCGCCCCTGGGGGTCAATTTCCATGGACTTCATCACGGATCTACCCGCCAGTGATGGGGTTGATTCTGTGCTCGTTGTCATCTGCCGGTTCACCAAGATGGCGCACTTTGTACCGTGCAGGAAAACTGCCACCGCTGAGTCAACTGCAGATCTGATCTGGCACCATGTCATCCGGGTCCATGGACTCCCCGACGATATTGTATCTGACCGTGGCCCACAGTTCAACTCCCACTTCTGGAAACGTCTCTTCGCTCTCCTGGGAACCAAGGTCAACCTCTCATCGGCGTTCCATCCCCAGAGCGATGGACAAACCGAGCGGACCAATCAGATTCTTGAGCAATACCTTCGCTGCTTTTGCAACTATCAACAAGATAACTGGAAGGAACTCTTGTCTTCTGCTGAGTTCTCTTACAATAACACCATCCACTCCGCCACCCAGACAACC